AGACTGTTCCAGGGAGGGAATGAGCAACTTCGATGACAATTACTAGGAAGTTGGATAAGAAAGATTAAAAATATTTAATGGAGGTTCCTTTTTGGTAATAAACCAAATAATCTCTAACTCAGTCTTTACTGATCTACTACAGGATTAAATCTAGTGAGAGAATCAGGTGTAAAGGAAATTCCTCAATAAACAGATAAATCATTACAAATGTTATGATGGAAAGGACTGCATGTTAGAAGCAGGGGAGTTGAGGCTACTTCAATTGGAGATCAGAAAAAGACCTTCTTAGGAACTGATTTTTGAGTTGATTTCTGAAATAAAAGTGCTAGTCAAGACAAAATTAAAAAAAAGATTTCCAAATAGATGGGTTGTTACCTGTAAAAAATAAAAGGGCAAAAAAAATCTTGGTGCATTTAAGGATGTGAAAGAAAACCAGTGTGAATGGAGAAGAGTGAACAAGGAAGATGGGATATGAGTTTGAAGAGGTAGGAAGATCTGAGTCATGCAAGGACACTAGATATGATTCCAAGTATGAAGAGAAGCAGCAGAAAAGCTGTGAAGCAAAAGGGAGATGTAATCTTATAGACATTAAAGAAAACATAATTTCATTATGTTGAATGCTATGTAGTGAATGGATTTAGGAGATAATGTGTTTTAGTTATCTGTTTTTTTTTTTCCACTGTGTCCAAAACTTGACAAGAATAAAGTAGAGAAGGAAAAGTTTATTTGGGGCTCACAGTTTCAGAGGTCTCAGTCCATGGTTGGCTGATTCCACAGTTGTAGAACGTCATGGTAGAAGGACAAGCATAGGAAAGCAGCTCAGAACGTGGTAACAAGGAAGCAGAGAGAGAACTCAGCTCACCCGGGACAAAATATATACCCCAAAGGCAATATTCCCAGTGACCTATTTCCTCCAGCCACACCTTATCTGCCTATAGTTACCACCCAGTTAATTCATATCAGTGGGTTAATTCACTGATAAGGTTACAACTCTCATAATCTAATTATTTCATCTTTAAATGTTTTTGCATGACTCACACATGAGCTTTTGGAGGATACCACATATCCAAGTTATTAACAGAATGAAAAGAAGCAAGAAAGTCAGAAAGAAGGTTCTTGCATTGGTAGAAGATAATGGATTAGGATTTAGAATGAACATGAAGAGATCGAATTAAGCTGATAAGATAGAACTATTGGGACTGGGGCTGTAGCTCAGTGGTAGAGCACTTGCCTAGCACATGTGAGGCACTAGGTTTTATCCTCAGCACCATATAAAAATACATAAATAAAATAAAGGTATTATGTCCACCTACAACTAAAAAAAATTTAAAAAATAGATAACACTATTACCAAGATAGTTCATATAGGAAAGAAAAAGTCAGAAAGTTTGAGCAAGAGTTTGATGTGTTTATAAAACATAAAACTGTAATGTCCAGAAGGCATTTGTATCTTTAGAAGAACATCCTGGAGGTGATGCTGTGTTCTTATCATATCTTATATGCATTTTATTGGCCTAGTTTGCAGGTGGGGTTGCACAACCAGTTGGCATGCAGCTCCCTTAGGTGAGGCAAGTTTTCTGGCAAGTCTGGGTATGGGGTCCCTGGCTGTGGGTGTGGGGTGCTTGTCGGTTTCTGAGATTATACATGGGTGGAGCCACCTGGAAGACCCAGGTGAGTTCTATCAGTGTCAGAGGGACCCAGGGGACTGCACTGTGCCAGTGTGCTCAGTTTGGAGCACCTGTCAGTGTGTGAAACCTGCACTGGTGACTTCATGGGGGCATATAGGGACCAACATGGATGGGCTGCCTAGCTGCTTTGTGGGACTGAGGGTAAATGGGCAGGGCAAAGTGTTGGCTTCTCAGGACTCAATAGGTTGAACTTCTGAAAAGCAGCTTCCCAACTGCTTCTGGGGGCCACACTCCTGTAGTAGGTAAGACCTTTCTGGGGGATCTTTGTTGACTACTACTTAGGAAAGTCTGTTTGTTTTCTGGGGTCATGGATAAGTGAATATAGGGCTATTCCTCTGTTTCCCTGGACCTCTGTGGACTGAGCTGTCTGGGAATGGCTGCCTGGCTATGTTCTGCAGATGTGTGTGAATCATGCCACCTGGCTGCTTCCCATGAGACTTGTCAGGCTGAGTTACTTAGAATTGGTTACCTGGTTGTTTCCCAGGGTCAAAGGAGCAAGGGTAGAGCCACTCAGGTGCATCTGGGCAGTAAGAGGGTGTGCAAAACTGCTTGATTGATTTCTAGAGGCCTCTGCAGGCCAAGCTGCTCAGGGGTGAGTAGCACAATTTCTTGCTTGGCAGTGGGAAGGCAAGTAAAAACTCCTGGCTGGTTTACCAGCCGGGTTGGTAGAGCTGCTGGAGGGAGCTGCCTGATTGTTTCTCAGTACCCTGGGTGGGCCGGGTTTCAAGACTGACTGTGCAGTGAGAGCCTGGGTGGGGAAGGGACACAGGGGCTGGACTTTTTCTTTGGGGCAATAGTAGTGTAGTAACCCCCCAGCTCCTCAGCTCAGCAAGGAGCTCCGTGTCTTGTGAAGGCCATAGGGTTCTCCATGAGTAGATGCCTCAGAGGTTTGTGGCATGAGTGGGGAAACTAGGGCCTTCAGGATTATCCTTTCTCTGTCAAGTGAAGTATGTATTAATTCAGCATTGATCTTTTTTTTAATTGATTGTTCAAAACATTACAGAGCTCATGATATATCATCTTTCATACATTTGAGTCAATTGGGTTTTGAACTCCCATTTTTACTCCAAATACAGATTGCATAATCACATCTGTTACACACTCACATTTTTACATAATGGTATATAGTAGGGGATAGGAATGTTAGCAGAATACAACAGTCAGCATTGATCTTGAAAGACAGAATGGCAGGTGAGGTGTGCTTAGTTTCTATCTTTATAAATTCATCCTATCTCTCTGAGTTTTACAACACCTAGTCCTGTGCGCACTTTCCTGCCCCATTCCCAGGTGAGAGAAGTTTTCTTCTTTGCTCTGCTGCCTGAGGTTGAGAAAGGGGTATGGGAGTCAGTTTCTTGGCCACCTGGCTAGCAAGGTTCCAGAGGTTCAGTATGGGTACTGGCCTAGGGTCCGGGACCATGCAGTTCTGATCAGCTCAGGGTTTCCTTGTGTTTGGCTTGGTTCTAGGTTTGAAATCTAGAATCTGAGTTATCTCCCTGTACTCCACTGCTTGGGAGTTGGGAGTGGGGTGATTTGGGCAACTCCTTCCTTCTTGCCTTCTTCAATGCATCATTTTTTATTATTACACTAAAAACATACAAAAAGTCTCTCACCTGGCCTCCTCAGCTAGAGTAAAGGTAAACTGGTGTGCAAAGATCTATTCCCACTGTGTCTCTAAGGGGGAGATGATGATAGAAGTTCTTACTCAGCTGCCATCTTGCCCCACCTTCCTGTGATCCCATTTTAAAATCTTTCATTTTGAATACATTTAGTTTAGTTTTATAAAATACAATTCTAAGGTTCATTTTAAATATTCCAGGTATTTGATAAATAGTGTTTTTGTTGTTCAATTCTGTATAGTTGTAACTTTCATTGTTATTTACTCATAATTTTCTGTCTATAGTGGAGTTTCAAAATTAGAGAGAAATAAGATTATAAAAATAGAATAATGTATCCAGATGGACCTATAATACTATAACAGTAAAATGAACCTACAATACCAGCCCCAATATCTGTTAACCATGTACAATTTTGCCTGCCCGTATCCCCACCTATGTGTTCCTATCCCTTTATCTCTCCTATTGCCATTTTTGAAATAAGATTCACAAATATTTCAGTACATACCTCTAAAAGATAAAGATCTTTAAACAAAAATAATATAATCAAACATAAACGTGGCTTGGTCATATAACTTGCTTTAGCAAAATAGACACAAAACTGAAATACACCTCATTTAAGCAGAGCTTTATGAGGTATTGTTTGATTCAGCTATTTCTCTTTTCAAGACAGTAATACGTCCTCATAAACAATATTTTTTTGAGAAAGTCTGATGTTATCCTCATTTCTTAATGAGAAAATGGAGAGGTTAAAATGAGAGGTTAAATAACTGTTCTAGTGACTTAGTTAGGGAGGCAGGCTAGAGTCAGAATTCAGTCCCAGGAAGTCTGGCTCCTGTGTCTATAGACTCTGACAGCTGTACATTATAGCATCTTTCCAAAATGTTCTCTGATTACTCCAATCATTTTTGTGTCTCTTTAAGCCTATTTTTGATGCTTTTGCTTAGGAATTCCCCCTCAAGAAAAAAATTATGTAACCCGAATTTATGTATTTATTATTATTATTATTTTAAATATTTTTTAGTTGTTGATAGACCTTTATTTTATTTATTTGTATATGATGCTGAGAATTGAACCCAGTGCCTCACGCATGCTAGGCAAGCGCTCTACCACTGAGCCACAACCCCAGCCCCCCTAATTTATTTTTTATTTATTTATTTTTAATTGATTTTATTTTTTAAATACATGACGGTGGAATGCATTACAATTCTTATTACACACATAGAGTACAATTTTTTATATCTGTGTATCTAAAGTATGTTCACACCAATTCATGTCTTCATACATGTACTTTCCATAATGATGTCCATCGCATTCCACCATCATTACTAACCCCATGCCCCCTCCCTTCCCATCCCTCTGCCCTATCTAGAGTTCCTCCCATGCTCCCCCTCCCTACCCCACTTTTCCCTTTATTTCCCAAGTGAAGGCTTCCTAGATTAATGAACAACTTTTCTGGTGTTTCTGGTGCTGGGATTGAACTTGGGGCCTTGCATATACTGAACTATATGCACACTCCCTTAATGAATAATTTTTTCTCAGAACATAAGATATTTTAAATTGTTCTTGATTTGACTTTATGTCCACACTTGTGATATAATTGGATATGTTATGAATCTGTGTCCATATTACTTAAAAATATACAAAAAATCCCTGTGAACATGCAATTAGTATTTGATGAATGAAAGATGAATACATGATTGACCAGAAATGCATATTTATTCAGTACACATTTGGGGCATTTGTTTTATAGAGACAAACTCCATTCCTTCTAAATAAAAGTATATGACAGGGAATCCAGTAAGATATGCAGCCTGAATCTGGTCCTCAAACATTTTCATGCTTTGTATCTATGGAGAGGAAACAGCAAGAAAACCCATCAGAACATTGCAGGGTTTCCTGAGGAGCATTCTCTCAGATAGTGTAACAGCAGAGTAACTACAGTAGGGGACAATAAAACTTTTTCTGTGATAAGCCAGGTGGTAAATATTTTTATTTTTAGGCTTTGTGGGCCATATGGCCGCGTGGTTTTGTCATTACTAATCAACGCATTAAGGCAGTCATAACGATAGTAAGAGAATGTGTGTGGCTATGTACTGATCAAACATCATTTACAAAAATAGGTGTTGGACTAGATTTGCCTTGAGAGTTGTAATTTATCAACCCTTGTAAAGAAGGAAACCCAAGTAGCTATGATACAAAATTGCCTATTAGGGATAGTTGTCATATAAATAACAAAGCTTATTGATTTTTTTCTCAGAAACTGGAGAATCCACTACAGAACAAGTGCTTTACTTCAAAGATTTCTCTTTGTATGAGAACTTGCCATATAAATTATCTCAGATTCTACAGAATTTAAAATTTAAGGGAATATTAGCAAGCAAGGTTTACAGAATATAAAAATGGTCATAAAATGTGACTTCTTACCTGTACTACAGGGACTGATATACTCAGCAACAGAAAACTCATCTGAAAGAAATGGAGAAACAAAAAAATCTAAAAATAGGGACCATGTTAAGTTTATTCACCTTTCTATTGGAGTGAAGTGAATGCTTTAAGAATTATCAAACCTCTCCAGGTAAATCGACCAAAATTGAACAGAATAATTAAAATATCTATATTTTCTTTCTCTGGAGAGGAGAAGGGATTGAAACCTGTTTAGACAGCAGCTGTTCAAATTTTAAATTATTAGGAAAATGACCATCATTGCATTAGTTTGAAGTTCTCTCTTCTCTGAATCCTCTACTTCTGTTTACTTTGTTGAGCTTGTTTCTTTAATTCCTTTTCTAAAAATGATGTGTCTAGTTTAAAACACTCTTTTTACTCCTGTCTACTCTAAAATTTGTACTCTCTCTTCAGGATCCAGCTTGGATCTTTATTTCTCTGTTCTTATTGAGCATCAACCTTCAACATGATTTTAGCTTTTCAGTCTTACTAGCTGGTTAACACTCATGTGTCATTAACTTATCTTTCCAAGTGTATTATGTTCTCTATGTCTAAACTACTTGAAAACAGTGACCTATATTATCCTTCTTTTAAAATTTTTATGTTTCTTACTCAATTTAACTGATAAATTAGTTTTATAGGTAGTTTCTTCAGTGTACATGTCTTGGAGGAAAGAAACAAAGATAAAATATTGACCAAGTGGATTAAAAATAGGATGACTTGTCACAATAGGATCAATTTCTTGGTTTTGGTTGAGAGAGTTTAATTGTCTCAGTTCTCTCTCACCTGTTTCATAGTAGTCATAGACTTTAACAATCGCTGGCTTCAGGTCTCTTACTGGGATGTCTTGCAAAACCGTGAAGGAAAAACTTAGTGTCTGATTTGTCACCTAAAACGAAAATGGGAATAATTAAGGACACAGAATACCTTCTACTTTCTTCCTTGAACAAAACATATTCTTCACTAAATATTCTTTGACTCTGATTCACCTGTATCTTTTATATGAGCAAACATTGAAGGAAGACAGGATGGGTTTTATACCATAACAAAGACCACTGAGACAACCTATATCCTCTTGTAGTCCTGTGTGTAAGATTAATTTTCTGGACCAATGTGAATATTTGCCAAGATATAGAGACATGGCTTTCTACAATATGAGATTATAATATAACCCTATTCTTTTTGTGTGACTGAATAAAACATTTCCTTTGCTTCACAGTCAGATTTGAAGATATTCATGCAGTCCACATTTTGTTTTACATAATGACATATTCAAATATTAACATTATCATTGATCAACCAATGTGATCATATTTATTCCTTTGGGGGGGCCTGTAAAATAATAGGAATACATTATAAACTTTTCTATTAATTTCACACATGAAATTTAACATAATTACAAAGAGTAGAACATGCCTTGGCGATAAAATATTTCTTTTATTTTCTTTAGAATAGTAAAACTTTCTGGAAGGGCATTCCTAATTATTGCTTTCTTCATATTATTGGCTTCCTTGTAAAGGGACCCACTTACAAAGCCCACTAATGTGAAATCCTAGCCAGAATGTCAGAGCTCTCACCTGATCCACATAAATGAGGACATGATTGTTGCTCACTTCTGTCCTGCTCACGTAGCTAGATCTTTCAAGCTAAAGAAAATTAGAGAACTTGAAAAGTTAGTCTTACACTGTTAGCACATTTGATTTCTAAGAGTAGAAAACTATTATCTGAATGATGTAAGAACTAGGATTCTTTAAATCATAGAACTAGAAAACTTTAAATCATTTTCTAGATTAAATAACCAGGTACAGATATAAAAAGATGGGAAATATCAAGTTTTGGAGGCAGGATTCAACAACATCATGTCCTGACTGTGACAAAAATCATCAAACTTATGAAGAGAAGGAAACTATATAGTCCTCAATATCCAAGTAGCAGATTATTTTAGTTCACATCAATTTTTTTATAACTAAAAATACAATTTTTTTAGTTCCTATCAGTCAATTTTGGACTTGAATTATACTCTATCTTTCTTGGGTTGTTTTTTTATAGTTTTGCTCTTGTGTGGTTTAAATTCCCAGCTAGATCATGAGGGCCTAAGAATGGGAACCATTCCATTATCATAGAGCCAAATAAATAGTTTGATTTCCTGGATTTGGGGAAAATACTTTATGAGGCAGGATGATATAGATGTGGTTTGATGTTAATATGATTTTAGTTTGGGGTTACATAGCATCATTTTGGCTGAGCTCTAAAGGACTTAAAATATACCTACCATTTTTACTGTTGGTTTCAGGGGAATAAAACCCGATATCATTTTTATATCAGCAATCACCATATTGGAAACAGGACGGCTCCCTGTGTAACTATAGTATCAAAGCAAAAAGGAGTTAGGATGTAATATGTGAAAGAAAGTCAGATTTCTCCTTCAGGCCTCACCATAAACCTGTCCATCTCCATGAAGTTTTCTCTCAATATCCACAAAAATTTGTGCACGTTGGACATGCATGATATTGATGTTGAAAACCTGAGTGTACATCAGATCTACAGCTTGCTAAAATTTCACATCCCAGACAATCAAACCAGAATCTTTAAAAGTGGATCTTGATAATCTGCATTTTAAACATATCTACAGTTTTTAGAAACTCCATCTATAATACTATTCATTTTTTATGCATTACTTTTATATTTTTAGTCAACCAAAATTTATCATATTTCTCCAAAGAGGCTTCAGAATTTCAGAGATCAGACACACTCTCTTACACAGTATACTTTTTTTCATAGCTGAGTTGGGTGTCTGAAATATGATTTATTTTATAATATTAACACCATTAGTATTTCATGCATGGGAATACCATTTGCTTTTGTTTTCTTGGGATTCCTGTAGTTTTTGATGGGTGATCTCTATATTTTATAATGTAATTTATCTTTGCATTTAGTATTAGTATTTATTACTTATTCATTTGATTACAGAGATAATTAAATAAGATTTAATTATTCAGTAGAGGCAAGGAAGACTTAATTTAAAACACAAATCCTCAAGGAAAATAATTTATTTGTTAGCGGTGAGTTGAACAAAACTGTATGTGAAAGGTAGGAATTGATTAGAATATTGGACTAATTCACATTTTTAATTTGAAAGATAATACCAGATTTATTTTTAAAGTATTACTGAAACTTCAAGATAAAAAGACTTATTAGAAAAAGGAATACTTCATAATGTTAAAGTAATAGGTGTATTAATTCTCTATTATTCTCATTTAACAACACAGCTTACCAAATAGGCTATTAATTACTGATAGTACTAGGTAGTTTTTGGAGTCAGGATTGAGTAATTTAGTCAAAAGGTCCTACCTAATATTCAGTGAGATCTGGAAGCTGGTGTGGGCTTTGGGTCCATCACAAATTTCAGGCAGAGTCTGGACCTTCAGAGAAAATGGGGAATCCTCCTTCTTTGGATGAATATTGTATTTCATGGATGTCTGTGAAATACCAAAATCATCAGTTTCTTTCTTTTTTCCTGGGTTCTCTCAATATTTCATCACTTAATGTCTCCAGATTTTCCCTTTGCTTTCCCAGGAAAGAAAGAGCAGAGCTTCCATTTAAACTAGAGTTTAAAGTAACTTTCTCCAACATAGCAAACCCAGAGTCTCACCTGAAGATATACACATCTTTCCCCAGTTATTGTTATGGTATAGTCTCCAGGCAGCTCTGGCAATGAGATCTGCTGTAGTAGCAGGAGGTTGTTGTTGTCCACTTGGAAATTTGTGGAAAAGGCCCTGGAGTTCTGAATGGTAACCTGTGCAGTTTTCTCAGTTTTGGTGAAAGTAGCTGCTCCATATCTGGATAGGGCATGCAGAGCCACCACTGTGTCCTGGAAGAGATGAGTGGAGAATTGCCCCAGAGCCAATTTTTGGTAGCTGAAATTTCCCCCCAAAGTCTGTGTTAGCCACCATAAGGGGCAAGGAATTTTTCCCCTACAAAGCATACCTCGGATAGTTGTTTTTCCTTTCCGCTGCCTTTCAGGCATTATCAAAATCATGCCACACTTTCTCAAAATACTACTAATTTTAATTATCTCATAATTTATTTTCATCTAAATTGGTATTATCCTGGACTATTCTCTATATTCAGAAATTGAGATCTGTCCCCCACTCCTTTTTTTGTTCAGGTCTTTCTTATTAACAGTTCTCTTGGTATTGGTCATGTACTTCAAAAAATAATTCTAAAATTGAGAAGTAAAACAGAAATAGTGACCACTATTAACCAGATGCATAATGACCATTTAGATTGAAGAGTGATAGAAATTGGTTGTGAATAAAAAGAATGGCACAATACAAGCCCTACTTTTCCAAGATTCATTTCCTCTTTTTCTAGCTTGTTTTATTTACCCCATCTTATCTCTTTGAAAAACAAGTTTCATTATGTTTATCCTAAATATTGAAAGAAGATAGGTAACAGACTCTCTGGAGGTTTATACCTTTCATAAGCTATTTCCAGAATTGAGATAGGAAAAAAAAAAAAAAAGACCGAAAAGGAAATTTTCAAGAACTTCTGCCTAAAAATCCCACTTACCTGGGAAATAAGAAAGGAGTTCCCAGGAAAAAAAGGCTGAGTTCCTTGGAATACTTTAAGTGGAATTTCTCAGTCATTCTATAAAGTTCAACATGAGCCTCAATTTAATCACTTTCCTTTTAAACACAATTTTTTTGGGGGGAGGGTTCACCTTAGAAGAGTTCCTGGAGAAGTGTGAAGATATAGTCTGTATTCTAAAACATTGATTCTCCACAGGGGGAGGTTTTGCTTTGTCTCAGCTAGGAGTTGGCTGCTACTAGCATTTAGTGGAGAGAGGCAAGGAATACTACTAAACATGGTGCAATGCCAAGACAGCTCCTACAGCAATAATTATGTGGCTTCAAATGTCAGTAATGCTGCTTCTGAGAAACCTCAGTATATCTAAATTGGTATCATCCTGGACTATTCTCTATATTCAGAAATTGAGATCTGCCTGCTCCACCCCCCAACCCCACCTTGGTATAGAAGTATTCACAGAGCATAGTGTAGCTTTAGAGAGAAATGTTCTTTATTCTAAGTTGCCACCTTGGTAGCACTTAGGATTTAGCAAAAACATTGTTTTGGAGAAACATCTAAAGTCTTTCCTGTGTATTCTCACTGTCCACAAATATCCCTAAATATTTCTTCTTTGATTTACTTATTTTCCTTGTAACTGTTGCATTTTCAACATATCTAATTTCCATATGTACCCAGAGAACACTTTTTGTGAACCACAGACCTGGGTGGAGGAGAAGCCACCATGAGAATTCTGTTGCTTTGTGATCCACTTTACAATGGGCACTGCAGAAGTCAGGTCCTCTGAGGTCGGGGCTGGCTGGACTGTGAGGAGAGTGAGGAGCACATAGGCCGTCATCTCCACCTCAGCAGAGGGAGCCTGGGGTTGGTACAGAAGTCCCTGTGGTGCCTTGGGTTTCTGAGGCCGTTCCCAATGGACTGAATTGTCTTAAGGGTGACAAAAGAAAAGGGGGGGGGAATCATAATTGTTTACTTGTTAAATAATAAGTGAATGCACATTTGTATCATATGGAGTTGAAATTAATACTGGAGAGCAAACAAGGCTTTCTCTTTTCCATAAGCCCCTACAACTCATACTTCCATGCTGTTTGAGTTATTCTGTAGAAAATATTGGTGGAGGAAGAAGCATACAGCATCTTTACCATTCTCTCAAATATTATTTTAGTTGGATTTCTAGAACAGTGGTAGAGAGATTCTTATCATTTGTGACATTTCCTTAGAATTAGAGCATAAATTGAAATATAAAACCAACCTTTTTGGGGCTGGGGCTGTAGCTGTAACTCAGTGGTAGAGCATTTGCCTAGCATGTGTGAGACACTGGTTTCGATCCTCAGCACCACATAAAAATAAATAAATGAAATAAAGGTCCATCTACAACTAAAAAAATATTTAAAAAAACTCCAACCTTTTGATGTCAGAAGACTTTTGTAAGGATCTTGCTGGCAAAATTTTAGAGTAAAAAATACACTGAAAATGTTATTATGCTACCTTTACTTTTTTGTTATGTTGTTGTTTTTCCTCTTATCATCCAATTGTGTAGAATGTAGACATCAAAAGAAAATATGTAAATTTGTGTAATATGGTGGATGGGAATAGAATTCTATAATTCATCTGTGTCATTGTCTATTATGTTATATTTTATACAACATATAATCCTAGAAAAGATATTATAATAAGAGTTGCTCTGTTTCATAGCATATGACCCAAGAAAAGAATGAACAGATGAAGCTTCTTGATTTCAGCAGGAGCACAACATATTTTTCCCCCCTGAATCAGTGTAAGTGGACAGGGAAAACTTTTGTCATTTACTCTTACCTTCTTTAACAGCTTCCTCATTGAGTGAGCGCAATATTTCTCTACTCCTGTTTTGGTTTCCCACTAGGGCAAAAGCATAGGCCAACAAAGCCCGGGTGTAGACGTGGCTGCCATGGGCTCCCTCTTTTGCTGTGTTCCAGGCTGACTCTAGGCAGAACAGGGCATTGCGGACAACAGGATGCTATAAAAATCAAAAGAAGTGGTTAAACAGAGGACAAAGTAATCCCTAAGTTGGATATTGTCAGATGTCATTGATGGCATTCAGCCAATCCAGTAGATAGCCAGATACCTATCACATTTAAATAGAAAGATAGCTTTTAGATCTCTTAACTTTATAGTTAATGCTAATGAAGAAAACAAGATGCTTTGTCTTAGTTTTAGTACAGAGTCCAAGGACACCACTGGCCAAAAACAGTATAAATCTCTCCTAAAAGCATTTACCAAAGAGCTCATTGATCTGAAAATGCCTCGTTATTGAGCAAAGGAAGTTTGAGGCTTGGCTTTTCTTAGGAAGCCATTCCAGATAGCAGGCTTCAGCTTTCACAGAAAGGAATGGATTGAGGTGGTACCTACAGTGGCTGGGAGCGGAATCTCCAGAAGGGCAATAGTAACATAGGCAGAGAGAGTGACTTCATCTTCTACTCCTCCCTGTAAATATGAGAGAGAGTTTGTGAGGGAGACTGAGAGAGTAATTGAAGTTGATTTTGATTGGTTCCCACTCCACTACAAGTTTTGTATATTATTTTCTGTTGCTCAATAGAAACCCTCCTTAGTATTTGCTGCTATTATAAAAAGAAATATCACCATGATAAAGTACATTTCTTCCTCCGTAGAAAGATTAAAATAATCATCCTTTGCATCTAAAGGTTCTGCATGGACAGATTCAACTAATTGTGGATTAATTTTTTTTTTGTAAAAAATTGCATCTATATTTAAAATGTACAGATATTTTAAAATCATTATTCCTTAAACAATACAGTATAATATCTATCTGCACAGAACTTACATTGTATTAGGTATTATAAATAATCTAGAGATAGTTAAAGCATACAGGATGATGAGCATAGGTTATGAGCAAATGACACACCATTTTATATAAGGGACTTGAGCTTTTATTTTAGTATCTGCATAGTGTCCTGGAACCAATCCTTGTGGATACCAAGGGACAACTGTTCTCTTTCTCTGATGCCTTCACACTTTACCTAGGACTTTATCTTTGGCAATTTCTCTATGCTTCTTCTTATCCTCCCCTAAGAGAATATTACACTGATCCATTATAGGGTTCAGAAGTTCTGGGAAGAATTCACCTTTATGGCATTGTTGAGCAGTGACCCAGAGCTCCTGAAACAGCCGTTGTCCTTCTGCTTTTGAGACAACCAGGTGAGAGCTTGGATAATATGTGCTTCATCGATGAAGATGTATGCTCGAGCCTGGGCAAATGTCTTCAGTACAAAGGCTGTGAGCCTGCGGGGGAGAAAGCATAAGTGTGGAGGCTGTTCTCATGCAGCACCATAATGCTCTGTTTGGGACACATAGGGCCCCCCTACTCCCAGTGCACCCCTATAGAATTTATGAGCTATAACTGAGAGTTTAGAGGCTTTTTAATGTGGAATCTTCCATGTTCTTTTGGGTTCACTGCCATATGTGGTTAAGTCCATCACCAACTTGTCCTTGCTTCCCAAAGAATTTCTTTGCTAACTTTAGGGAGTCAGATTCCTTCTAGTTTCTTTGGGGGTTAGGTAAGACCATTTTTTTTTCACATTCTGGGCATTCTGTATTTATTTCTTTTCACAGACTTCTTCACCTTCTTTTCTGCTCTAGTTACCCTGATGTCCTGCTGCAGAAATACTTCCCACCATTTTGTCCTGCTCTTTGACCACATTCCTTCCCCTTGTTTGCCTATGTAGTCAAATGAGAATGAGAGCAAATCATCTAGAAGGGAGTTAAGTTATGCTCTATGAGTGACAGCTGTTGCTTTTCTAGCCTATTTAGAACACTCTCAAATGCTAAACAACAACTAAAAGGGGCAAATCACAAACTTATGTTCCTTTAGCAGTATGACAAGAAAAAGGGTCTTGATATTTTGCATATCAAAAGAATAAACCTTAAAGTGTTTTCAGTTCTTTGAGTAATTAGAATTTGGCCTGAGACATTTAGTTATCCAAATTGAATATTAATTTCCTCCTCCATAAAAATGAAGCTAATAACTCTCATTCATAGGATTGCTATAATTAAATAGGATAATAATATATGTGTGTTCTTTGAACTCATAATTGGAATTCAGAATTGATTTTCTTTTCTTACCAAGTGTTGCCCTGGTTTCTGCCATATTGTTCCCCAAAGGTGCTATAAGAGCCATCTTGGTGTTTGTAGTTCAGCTGTCTCTGATAACCTGGAATGGAGGAGGTTCAGATAGTTCAGGAAGCCTAGCGGATGAGGCAAGCCACCCATAAGTGTAGGCTGATCCATCCAGAAACAGCTAGGAGCCACTTATAGTCTGATCACCTATGTACTATGGATCTGCCATAGTTCAGTGGATATTATAGACACTAAAACAACATCCTATTGCAGAGTGGGAAGATTGTTATTTCCATAAAAATCACCAACATGGGTTAATATTTAATGATATAGCTTAAGCCTAATTGGGAAAAGTCTCATTGGAATAATAAGTTTTTTTTTCTTTTTCACTTACCACTGATAAGATAACCAATTGCCCTGGACTTGATCTCCTGAGTTAGCTGTTGGGTTTCATTCAGATAATTCAAGATATAGATGTTAGGAGCAAATAGGACCATGTTTTGTTCTCCACAGCCATAGGGCATCTGGAGGAGATTTTGTATATTTTGCATAGTGGAACCCAGTATGTCACCTGGGGAATGAAAAGATTCAAAGTCAGGGCACTTTCACTTCAAAAGTAGCCAATGCTATAAACAGTAAATGACTTTTATATTCAGAGTCACATACCCTATCATTTAGATAAGGGAAAATTACATTTACAGATAATGAACCTTCTAGGACCCTAATAGAAATTGAAACAACCACAAACTTGACAATTATGCACAGGCAACTCTTTTGGACCAAGTTTCCTAAGCTTAAAGTGACTCACCTACAACTGAGACAGAGGCTCTGGCAGATTCTTTGACCACATTTGGTGGAAGCTTCAGGGATAGCAGCTCAGACACTTTAGTACCTTTAGAAATAGACAACTCATATCAAAGAAGGTCCTCTGTGATTACAATATAAGGTCATGGTTAGAGTGGGAGCTTCAGAGATAAACAGCCTTCATACGCTACTGGCCCTGCTATATGACCCAGGATAAACTGTGATGAGTCAGTGAAATAATAAATGTAAAACATCAGAACAGTGTCTGCAACATATTAAACTTCAATGACTGTAAACAATTATTAATATTGCTTTTCCTTTATTATTATAGTTAGCAGTAGTATTATTTTTACCTCCTTGAGGAATTCTGGATCTAAGGAATAAGAATTTGACTCAAAGATGAGATTACTTTGAATAGTTCAGTTCCTCTAGACACTGTGTGACTTTCAGACTCCTTTCCCTTCTTATTTAACCATGTCTTGCATTGCTGTGCTTAGTAGATTTCTAAAAGAAGGCTAGGAGATGGTGGGGAACCACATATCTCTGATTTATTATTGTGTTAGTAAAACATACCCATAAGAAGAGAGTTATTTCACTTCCTTATTCTATAAAATTTTCAATGGATTCTGATGTTTGTAAATAGGTAACATGAATATATATTAAATTACCCCTTCTCAATTGACAAATACAATATTGTATGTATTCTGGACATGGAATTAACACTAAGGTGGCAATACTGTATAAAAGCTACAACTGTTTCTTAATAATATAGTGAAAACCAAATGTAACTTTTTTTTGCCTTGAAATGAAAAAAAAATTTTTAGGTGGGATTAGTACAAAATGCCATGTTTTCATCAGCAGCAATTTTAGGGACTATTACTTGATTCAAACTCATCATAATTTGGCTCTCTACCTTGTCCTGGGACACTTTGAGCTTCAATAGCCAGGCTTCTTAATGCATAACCACTGGTCTATTGAGGTAAGAGAGCTAAATATGAACCATGAAGTCCCCAGAATTAGTCCTGCCTGTACCTCCTGAGCCATATTAACTTGCTATTTTGGGCTTGGTGTTCTTATCTGTTAAATGTGTATAAAGAAATAATTAGTATGATGCTAATTTTAATAAACAATTCCAAAATTAAGGGAGAGAATATGTATGGATACACATAGTAATTTGAAGTTTCTACCTGTGTGTAGCTTTGTTCTCACAGTAATTTTAAGGGTGGAGTCTCACCTGAAGCACAGGTCATAGAGTTGAAGGTCTCCTCTTGTTCAACACCTTCAGGCTTGAATGAAGAGAAAAGGGATAAGTAAAGGTATAAACATATCCCCAGGTCATAGAAAGACAACAAAGTTCCTTCCTTTGAAAGGTAGTATTTATAAGAAATGATTTTCAATATCCTACTTATTATGAAATTATTATAAATCCATAAAACACTGAAAAACCAGGTTTGCTGGTAGAGGAAAAAATGAAAAATGAGGATAAGACTAGTGAATCAATAATAGTTACAAGAAATTTGCAAATCCTAGGAGTGAGGTAGAAATTTTTTAAAAAGGGAATAATTCTCAAATGATTTATGGAAAACTCTACTTATAATAGCTGGCAATGTCTCCTGTATTTCTTTTAAGGTGAGAAATTCCATTAGTCTTATAGAATGGATTGGGTGAGCATGATATTGTCCTTTGTTGTCCCAAGAGTGGTCACATTGTAAATTGTTAGGGGCTCAGAAAAATATGTCAAGTGGGTCAGGCTGACTTACCTCCACCAACAGGGTTTTGATGATCGTGTCTTTCCTTCCAATCTCTGGAACCTCAGTAACTTCATTTCCACACAGTTCTAGAGACTGTATTACCTCTGTGCTCACAGAGAAATTCACATTCCCTAAAAAAAAAAGAATAATAGAAAAATTGAGTATCCATCTTGTAATTCAAATACCCTTAAGGGATACACTCTATTCTTACAGTTGGCAAGAGAAGAAAATATTACCAAAAATACCCAGACTAATGGGCAGAGTAAACGTTACCCAAGGGCAGTGATTGTGGGGACCAAGTTAGATGAGAATGGTGAGAAGTGGTCTTTGTGGGGAGAAATAAAAAGAGAAGAAATTAATTTTATAGAATTGTATCCCTGGACAACAACAAAAAATTTTAATACAGTGAAAGGAGTGCTTGGATAGCCACCATCCTTGGTGACTGGTGAGCTTTTTGGGGAGACTGTCACTCACCCAGAGTTTTAGGAGTCACTGTCCAAGACAAGATTTGCCTTTCATTCCCACAAATGCAATAGGATTCTTCTGCTTTTTCATTTGGGGAAGCTAAGAATGTTGGCGAAGCTTCCAGCTGCACACTAACCTATATCCATCCACAAGTGAGGCAAAGAGATAAAAATGAACAGGATATGAAAAAACAATGAACACATGGAATCAGGGCCAAGTGTGGGATGTTGCTTTACATTTGGATTTTTAAAAGAAAAGTATGATACTTAAGTTGGTTTATGCTTTAAGATGCATGAAAATGGCACTGACACAAATCACAATTGCTTATCTAGTTGGAAGATCTGGCATTTACATTAGGGTGAATTAGAGAAATTTGCTGATACAGCACCAGTGCAGGAGGGGAGCAACAGAGATTATATACTGTCCTTGGGGAAACAACCTAAGGTTCCTATCTGCCATGATGATATTCTTCCTAACTCTGCCTTTCTTCTTTCCTTCCCCCACTTCCTCTAAAGTATACATGTCTCCTCTGTTCAAGGCATGGAACACTACGAGCAATACATAAGAGGTTCCTGAACTTGAGGATATTGTATTGCAAAGGAAATAATATACTATAAAATTATGGCATAATTTATAAGAAAGTAAGGTTATAAGATAAATTATAACTATATACAGTTTTGTGGAGATCTCAAGATGAGGGCCCAGGGAATGACACTTGTGGAATTGATAAAACTGAATTTTGAATCAATATTAGGAAACTTTCTGGAACAAAACCTAATTTGTGGCAAAGAATTCTTATCATAAGCTCTAGAAAAGTTTTAAAAGTTTTTAAAAATTGTAGTTTGATGATCCATGGTTTAAACACCTGTAACATACGTGTCATATTTTCTCAGTGATCATGTCCTGCCCTTCCACATACAATTTATTTGTAGTGTCAACACATAATTACCTGAAAGAATACTTAGTGCTGGGAACTTTGGACAAAGGAGTCTTTTATTCTGTCCACCCTTCCAATTCACACTTATTTTCCTTACCCGGATGCATTTGGGAAGGTAGTTCAACACAGTGGCCTTGAGTGTGAAGGCCTCTCCACGGACCACAGAGTAGGGCATTGTGAGCTCCACAAAGAAGGGCTGGAAGACTCGGAGAGAGACGGTGGGAGAGAGACCAAGCCCAATGTCATTGGACAGGCAGAGGGCCCCTGCCTTCCACTCAGTGATGGTGTCAGGGACAGTTTTTTCTACTTCAGCTACACCCGATGAGCTGGGAGGACATAATGTGAAGAACAGAAAGTAAGCAGATGAAACATTTTCTCAAGTAAGAATCAATAAGTATAAAACTACTGTGGAGGAAGAAATCACTTAAGGGTGCACAAGTGTGTGCCATGTGTGTGTGTACCAGATTCCATATTGGGGACTGAGTTGGAAAAATGAAAGGCACAAAAAGGCACCTCTTTCTGTTATCATCCTGTGGCCATATCACACATGGCTGTACTTTAGATAAATATATTTGAATGTGATCCAATTTGGTTCTAAAACTTCCTTACTTGTATCATTTCTTAGATAAGAAAATTCTTAAAAACATGGTCCAACAAATAGACCATTGTATTGTAGCTTGGTTTATTTATGTACTTGTTCTAATCATACTGTTTATGGAAAGCTTCCTGAATACAACTTTTGTCTCCCATGGTTATTTTCTGTCAGACTCAGGCATAATTATTTTAGAATTGCTCAATTCTTGAGACAATTATATTAATAAACCCACCTAAATAAAGCATCTGAATTTAGGTCTATCCTAAAATGGTCAGAGGTTAAGATAGTTATTTAGAAATTTCCAGAATGATTATTTTAGGATTGAAAATGCTGGAGGTCCCACAATCCCTCCCCTACAGCAAATGGAGAAATGTGAAATTACATACTCTACCACTGCTAACTCCCAGATCCAGGTCTCAGGGAAATAGCTTCGCACAGTTTCAAGGACTGGCTCTGGATTTTGCATATTATTTGAAGTTATCATATCAAACGGAGCTGCTTGAGGAATAAATGGCATGGCTAATGATCCTGCTGCTAATAAAATGAGAGAAAATAATAGTTCAATTAAAGAAAACATCCATGCATTTCATGGTGCATGTGTGAGATGTAGGAGAGAAAATTTTCAGTTTTCCTGAATTTTCTCCTAGGTGCTGTAGAACTTTGGAGATAATTTGTTGATCTTTCATTCACTGAGAAGAGAGACATATTTGTTAAAGGTTTTAATTCTGTTTATTCTATATATGACATGATTTTATATGAATTGTAACTGGAATGACAAGATAACTCAGATGGTTTTATGGGTCTTATGCAGGAAAAGGCTGGTTTTTAAGGTGAGAGTATTGCTTCATCCTCAGAGAGACTGAGCAAAAGTTGTAAAATGCTATTTAGGTGATGTAAGGGTGGCTATATTGGAAAATTTTTGATTTACCAATGGAGTGAACAGAATTCAACAATAAACTCGTGTGTCAATGTTGAAGCTTGAAAATTCATTGATCTCTGGATAATAAGACTAGAACATTAGGTGTTTCTTCTGCTTTGTTTATAGAAAAATGATGTGAAGAATTCAAGATACTAACCATAGCTATTTCCAACCATAACTAATTAGTTTTAGCCCTATAGTTCATATAAAGAAATCACTTAAAAAAGCAAGAGAGCAGAAAAACAGATATGAAAGCTGCCTGGCTCATACTGCGACTGAAATCATGCTCACAAATAAATTTGAGTTAGGATCTCTATTTAGGTATCCAATCTGATATTTCAGAAACACCTTGTGAAGGAATACTTAGAAATTATGAAAAACTGATTTCCAGTAATTTCTCCTTAATCATTGCTCCTGAGGAAAGCATCAGTAATAATTTCTTTAATGGATATCATACAGCTTTTCTCTGTGTCCTTTTGAAGTGGTAGCCTTTTCTATCTCTGACTTTGCTTTCTCGTGGATATTTTATTTTTCCTCTCTTTAGTCTCATCTTTAATTCTTAAATATATAAAGAACAATGTGCCCAAGTGAATTCATTTTCATTTCCTACCCCAGGTTTCAAAGACCTACTAATTCCTCCATCTATTGCAGCTGACAAACCATACCATTACGTGTTATTTTTAGCTCCATTTTTTAAGTGATGGGTATATTATTTCTATTTGTATTGTCAACTTGACTCTGTCTTTTCAGTTTCTGTAACAAAGTTCTATACTTCCTCCATGCCACAATTAATAAACTACTGTTAAGGTGATATGATTTTTTTTTTCTTGGGATGTGACTGGTCTCAAACGTATTATCTTTCCCTGCCCCGGCTTGTTTTTCCCATATGACGTCATGAAAAGGTGCTGATCTCTGGACTAACCCACTTATGTTCTGTTTCATTCCTGATTGCAAAACATTTCCAATCGAATATTCCATTCATGGCTTAAAATGAACTGCTCAATCTAACTTTTTAACACTTCTTTGACATTCAGTAACTCTCAAGCAAAAAATTACAAAAACTTGAAACTTTATTTTCTTAGTTTAGTATCACTAGATATTTAGTATTTAGTATTTCTTTGGAGAAGCATATTAAGTGGTATCACTCTTCATCTGAAAGTCCCCACATTTCAGTCAAAAAGTCAAATACTCACCCTGACCTAAAAGCCCTACACAGTGTGGCCTTGCTTATTGATCTGATCTCTGTCTCCAATTGCTTACACTTAATTAACTTTGTTTCAACCGTGGAAGTTTCCTTACTCTGCTTAGATTTTTCAGGAAAATACTAACCTGAAAGTCTTTGATAGGCAGAATAGTGTAGAGGTTCAGACCAGGAGATTTGGAGTGAGACTCACTGACGTGAATCCCCATTCCATATCTTACTAGTTGGGATATAGTGACTGAATTATTTTACTTTTATGGGCCTCAGGTTTTTTTTTCCCATCTGAAGAATGGTAAAAAGAATGCCTACCATAGGAGGTTTCTACAAGAATTAAGGAAATCTACTCAATAAAGGACTCCATAGCTACTTTTTATTATTAATATTTCCTGTGGCTGTAATAATCTTCTTCCAGATAGTCATGTGGTTTGCTTTTTTCAGATTTTCATTAAATTTCACTCTTGGTAAGACCTCCACTGCCCTCCCTATGTAATTTGCAACACCCTATAATTCAAATCCCTTTCCTTATTTGAATTTTGCTTATATAATTTATCATCTTCTAATGAGCCATATAATATTCTCACTAATATGTTTATGATCTTGCTTGCCTATTACAAACATAACCTTCATAAAGCAAAGGTTTTTGTTTCTGATATTTGTAAATATAATCAGAAAGTAGGTCAGTTATTGAAATAAAGAATAAATAACTTTTATATTTTTAAATTTTACTGTTTTAGGAACTAGTTATTTCTATTATTGTCTAACATAATTTTTGTCCATGGTTTGGTTCAATTATTGATTTTCTCCCTTCCTCTTTCTCTTAGGTCCTAGGGATACTATTAAGGGCTTCTCTATCTATACCAGTCCATATCATCAAACACCTTGAGATGGTAGGATGGCTTCCCAAAAGTTATGGGAATGATTTCATGTTCTTTAACTAATTATCCAAGAGCATTCACGAATGGATAATTATGAATGTAATACACTCTACTATTGTCATCTATGTAAGAAATAAATAAAAGAAAGAAAGAAAAAAGAGCATTCACAAGATATTCCATTTATCTTAGTTCCTTCATTTGCTTATATACTTGACTTATTTATAGCTACACATTTCAATCCCTTTTTGGTACCTATCACACATTTTAGGTGTTCTTTTTTCTGATATCTCAGATACTTGAAATTCTCTCTTTAAAAAATTCCAGACCATTTCCTTTTCCCCAAACTTCCAAGGTTTCAACTTGAAATTCTTTCTATGTAGTTCTTATGATTATTTTCCTTTCCTTTAAATTCTCCGTCATTTATAAAATACCTTACATGACAAAAATCTTATTTACCTTTAATGAAAAGCTGAAATGTGCTACTACTGAATCTTAGAGAAAGACAGCCTATTGCCTCTTATGGTTTGGATGATGAGGTGTCCCCCAAAAGCTCACATGTGAGACAATGCAAGAGGTTCAGAGGAGAAATGATTGGGTTGTGAGAGTCTTAACCCAATCAGTAATTAATCCCCTGACAGGGATTAACTGAGTGGTAATGAAGTGGTAGGCTGTGGCTGGAGGAGGTGGGAATTGGAGGTGTGTCTTTGGGCTATATATTTGTATCTGGCAAGTGGAGCCCTCTCTCTCTCTGCTACCTGATCAACATGTGAGCTGCTTCTCTCTGCCACACTCTTCCACCATGATGTTCTGCCTCACCAGGAGTCCCAGAGGAATGGAGTCGGCATTCTATGGACAAAGTCCTCTGGAACTGAGCCCTCAAATAAACTTTTCCTCCTCTACAATTGTTCTGGTCAGGTCCTTTTAATCACAGCAGTGAAAAGGCCAACTAAAACATGGCCCTTTCCAATAGAGCTGATAGTGTGATTTTTATCATGGTAAGCCTTGTTATAGATGGATATAAACCTTAATGTCAAGGAACACAGAAAATAATATTTAAATAAATTCTTAATTTGTATTGATAAATTGTATGTAATTATGTTACTGGGTATTTTGAAAGGCTATGAGAAGTTTTAGTCAAATTTCTTATTAATGAAGGATCTGAGCCTTAGAAAATAGACATTACTTACTCACTCTACACAAAGTACCTCTGATTCCTAATTTGAGCTTAAAAAATATAAGTATTTGTTAGCAGATAAACATCAAGATACTTTGGAGAAAAGATAGTTCAAATCATGTGAAAGAAGAATGAGAAAGGGTAGATAATGGGCTTTGCATGTAGGTAGACCTGAGGATAGGACAGTAGTTTTAATGGGAAGTTGAGATCTAGAAAAATGTTGCTTTATTTAAGTACTTCTTTTTAGGTCATGAATTATGAGTATTTCTGTCATGTTTACAATGTCTTTTCATTGGTAGGCCTTTGTCCTTTCTTCTATTTTAAAAGATGGAGCATCTTTTAATATTTTCCTGATTCCATAATGATAATTACTCTCACTTTCCACTCTACCTGTCTTTCCAATCTTACAGTACATTGGAATATTCTATTTCATCTGATTTTGTCCCCTGAAGCATCTTACTAATCTACAGAAAACCTCGGATATGTTCTGAATAGGCTGATTACCAGCTAAGTGATCTTTTTTTTTTGTTTATTTTTTATTTTTATTTATTTATTTATTTATTTATTTATTTATTTATTTTTATTGGTTGTTCACAACATTACAAAGCTCTTGACATATCATATTTCATACATTAGATTGAAGTGGGTTATGAACTCCCAATTTTACCCAAATGCAGATTGCAGAATCACATCGGTTATACATCCACAATTTTACATAATGCCCAATCAGCTAAGTGATCTTAACAAAAAACAACGAATCTAAATCATGGTTCTCTATGTGTATGGAAAGGAGATAGGGCTACATTATTGATCTCATTTTACCTTTGCAGAAAAGTAGTATTGTTGTATATGCTACAAAATTAAAAGCAACTTGTTATTTTACCTCCATGAAATCCTAGTCCAGCTTCTCTTGGAGGTGTGTGGGTAACTGAGCAAGATGATATTTTCCGAATTTTTGAGTTGGTGAACACCTTTAATCCCATACCCTGGAAAAAAATGATCACTCCCTTTGTAAACTTGTTTAGAATTTATAAAATATTATCTTTAAATTTTCTACATAATTCCAATAGTTTTAATTCCATGGAGATATGCACAACTCAGGAAATACACTGTAGTAAAATTACTATAATTTATGAATTGTTAATATTTTACTCTTTATTACTTATTTTTGGTTAGTTGGGGAAAAAACTAAATATAGGGCTGGGACTTTGGCTCAGTGGTAGCGCACTTGCCTTGCATGTGTGAGGCACTGGGTTTGATTCTCAGCACCACATATAAATAAATAAAATTGAAAAAGATCTATCAACAACTAAGGAAAAATATTTTTTAAAAACCCTAAATATAATAAAAAAGTATCTAATGAAGAGCCAGAGGTTGGGTCGAGCCATAGCTGACTTACTAACAGAAATATTGTGTGATCTTGAAAGACATTTTAATTTTGTCACTGAATTCATTTTCTCAGCTGAAAAATGAAGTGGTGAGCTGAAATAAAAAATTACTAAAATCATTTATAAATTCAAAGTTTTAATAGCATAAAAAATCCCAAGACAGCATGTGAATTAGTAGGAACTTTACCTTGATGAAACTATAAACATCTTCTTCATCGTAACTTGATAAGGGAACATAGACCGATCCTCCACGAATGATGAAAGAATGCACACAGCTTGTTTGCTTTTCCTCCTGCTGGTCTAAATGGTTGGGAAAATCCGTGGGATCCCTCAGGGTTAGAAGACTGTAGACCTGTAACAGTAGGAGGAAATCAAAGGCAGAACTCTTACCTGCTGTTGTTGGGTGTTTTTTTTTTTTTGACATATTCAATAAACTGATAGAAATTAGATAATTAATCATCAAGCTTATCTTAAGTACATTCAGGTAATTGGTACCTTAGAACAAAATTAAAGATTTTCTTGATTTTTAACAGTAAAACTTGCTTGGGGAATTGCTTTCAAAGAGTAATAAAATCTTAAATTATGAAGTATTAATCAAAAATTCAGTGTGGAGTTTAGATCAAATATTGGAAGAAGATCTAACTTACCTCTGTGTTGGATGATGTTAATGCCCCAGGGAATTCAGGTATGAATTGTTATTGCCCCCCGTTAAACTTTTATGTTTACTCATTTTTGTTTTTGTACTGAAGAATCACATAGGCACATAAATGAACATATATAATCCATATTGGGTAGATGGGCTTTTATGCAGTTGCAAACGGAGATTACTTTTTTATGGAAAAAGAAGGATGACTTAGAACCAAATCCTCATAGCACAGAGCTTGAGGCCTGGATATTTATTCTAGGACTGGAGTAAGATAGTCTTAATTGAAGACCTTCCAGCATCTGCCTGGCTTGATTTTTGAACTACTGTAGACCACCAACTCCTGAGTGTCTCCTGTTTCCCCACTTTTCCAAGGCATCATCAGTGATCATTCCATGACAATCATTGCACCATTGTATGGTGGGTGTATGGAGGCAAATGACTTGCTTTCACTTTAGTTCAAGGTATTCATGGCTAGATACCTGAGGAGTTATACCTGGGAAGAATACTCTATACTTGGATCTGGTTTAAATTGTGAAATTCAGTTTTTGAGCTGTTATCATTTTAGAATGAGAATTTTAGGGACCACAGACAGAAGGCTGAGTGTCTTTTACATGTGAGAGGATCATGAGTCACTGGGGGTTGGCAGGCAGCCTATGAAGACCATCTCCAAAATCTCCCTGAATCATAATCTCTGCCTGTTGTGATTCCTGCCTTTGTAGTGTTTCTCTCATGAAGTATAAGGCTGACCTGCATTAGATATTATGGAAATGATAGTATACAACTTCCAAGGCTAGGCCAAGAGCTTTTTAGCTCTCTTGGATCACTTACCCTGCTGGAAATCTCTGGCAATATGAAGTCTTTGAGGTGAGAAACTGAGCCCTCCTGACAGTAACATGAAAAACCAGTCTTGGAAGCAGATCTCCCTAATTCAGTCAATCTTTGCAAGAATGCAGCTCTGATCAACATGTTAATCATAATCGTATGACAGATCACAAGCCAGAGCCACCTAGATAAGCTGCTCTAAATTCCTGACTCTCAGAAACTGCATGAGATAGTAGGAAGTTTACTGTGTTCGTTCACTAAGTTTTGGGAAAAGTGTTATGCAACAGTAGATAGCTAGTAGCTTATATTTCTTTGCCTGTTTATCTTTACTTTCCAGTAAAAGAATTAAATAGGCACTTAAGTAAGCATGCATTATCTATATTGGACAGACCAATGTTTTCTAAGTTATTATTCAAAGAAAGTAAGCTTCAATATTTCTATAACTTAAAAAGCTGAAATCTCCATTTATGTTTATGATACCTTCTCACCTCCATAACACTCAAAACTTTGTATGCAACCAAAACAACCACTAAATTTAAATGACTAAACAGGGTAAATATAAATATTGAGAAGAGACTAAATTCCCTTAATACATGCTGAAAATAATAGCTTAGAATAGACTACCATAAATAGGAAGTGTAAAAAAATTAGGTGTGTTTCCAAAGAAAACACTCAGAGAAAAAATTTCCTTTTCCAGATTAACTCTTATAATTAAGTAGAGAAATATAACTGCTCTTCAGTGTGATAGTTATTTTTTTTAATGAGGAAGTATTTTGAACTATTAAAATACTAAGGTAGAGAAGAACTTTGGTTATGTGCTTCATGCTGAAGGACATTAATTTGGATGAATAAAAATAGGACAAGTATATTTGGTATAGTTACTTCACAGGTTTAAAATTCATATATATTAGGGACTAGGATTGTGGCTCAGTCGTAGAACGTTTGCCTAGCATGAGCTGGGCCCTGGGTTTGATCCTCAGTACCACAAAAAATAAATAAAATAAAGGTATTGTGTCCAAATACAACTAAAAAAATAAATATTTTTTAAAAAATCATATATATGAAGCAGAAACTAGAACAGACACAAAATAAACTTTAATATTACTGATTTACCTCCCAACATAGAAAAATAGCAATAATTCCCCTCCAGGCTTATTAATCAGTCCTTTTAAATGTTGATTCATGAGGTAGTTAAAGCCATAACATTTAGTATAACTTTAAAAAATTTGGTTTTTTAAGATATACATGACAGTAGGATGTATTTTGACATATTATACATACATAGAGTATAAATTATTCTAATTAGAATCCCATTCTTGTGCCTGAACATAATGTGGAGTTACACTGGTCTACCATAACTTTTTGATAATGATGAACTCACAAATTTTTTTCACATTATGCTGAAAATTTTCAAAATATAAATAACCTAGTTTTATATTTAAAACTTGGGAGATGTAGTTTCTAAAAATGTCCCTTCCTTTGGTAATCGTTCTTTGAAAAACTATTTATTTGTCAGTATTTCTTCCAAATGGTATTAACCATTTTTCTGAGTCATATATAGTCTTTTAGGTATTACCCTTCAATAATGACAGTTCTATAAGGACAAGGACTGTGATACATTGATTTCTTTTTCCTCTGCTCCTGCAAGAGATCCAGCACATAGTGGGCTTGAAAACAATACCAACAACAATGATAAGATAATAAATAAATAAGCATGACATGTCAGGAGTTAATACCATGAATCATTATAATTACAGAAAAAAGCAGAAAATCAAAATTTTAGTGAATCAGTGTTGTTAACAAAGATGCAGTAGGACACTTTTTTTAAAAATTGAAAATAATTGTGAATTACTTATTAGCATTTTCACAGATCCCAAGGAACATGGAGACATGAATGGATCTGTTAGAAGGTACATGACTTCCCTAATGCTTTCAAATATTAATTTTGTAGCAAGCTTATTTATTCTTGAGACCAAAATTATTTTATTTAGACAGAAGTCATATTATCTAATACTTATAGCAACTCATTAATCCATTCTCCTTTTTGAGCATGACTGTCTCATAAGTGAGGAATCTTAACAAAATGTAGCTTTCATGAAGATTATTGAAGACATTAAAATGAAGACATTAGATTTGATTCCTTACAGAAATAGAAGAATAGAAATATTGAGAAGAGACTAAATTCCTTTAATACATGCTAAAAGTACTAGCTTAGAATAGACTACCATAGGAAGAATCAAAACTTGCAGGCAGAGTTTCAGAATCACATCTCAGTTACGCCACTTACTTCTGGGTAATCTTGCACAAATATCATAACTGCTCCAACTCTTAAGTCTTGTCATCTTAAAATGGGGCTATTACTTATTTTCTGGGATTTGGAAAAGTAAGTGAGAACAACTCCTGTGTGGGACAGGGAGAGACTGTCAAGGACTACTCAAGTGGGAGGTACCTTTATTATCACATTTTACTTTCAATAGAAGCTTCTCTTGCTCTGAGCCCTTTTCAGGGTCCTTGCTGATCCCTGAACTCTGACTGGAACTCACCGAGGATGCAGAGAGCTCAGCTTCAGGCCTCATGAGCAGCACACTTTGGTCCACAGCACGGAGGGCGCAGAGGGACTGAGGAGAAGCTGTGATTCTCAGGTGGGCATGTGAGGCTGGAAGAATCTGTGCTGGGCTGAAGCTCAAATCCACCTGTAAAATTGAAAGAAAGGTCAAAAAAGCCAGTTTCTTGATTTAATCATGTCTTTATATGCGTTTCTTCAGTCATCCTTACATTTAGCTTTATATGACCTCGTCAGGACTATCAGTTGAGGACCTCTTTTCACATCTTTTCCTCATTGTTTATTGAAAAAGTTTATTATTTTTTTCCTTACTGTCAATTACATTTATTTAATTCAGGTAGGCTCTAGAATGTTCAGGGAACAGGAGTCCTTGGAGAAATGCCAACCCTTTGAAATGTAACCACATCAGTTAAATTTGACCAAAGGTTTGGTTTTGTTGTTGTTGTTGTTGTTATTTTTAGATGTACATGACAGTAGAGTGGATTTTGACAAATTTTACATTCATAGAGTATAATTTGTTCTAATTAGGATCCCATTCTTGTGATTGTATATGATATGGAGTTTCACTGGTTGTGTATTCATATATGAACGTAGGAAAGTTATGTCCAATTCATTCCTCTGTCTTTCCTATTCCCATCTACCTTTCCTTTTCTTCATTCCCCTTTGTCTAATCCAGAGAACTTCTATCACCCTCCCCCATTGTGTGTTCATTTTCATATCGGAGAGAACATTCAGCCTTTGAGATTGGCTTACTTCACTTAGCCTAATAGTCTCCAGTTTTATTCATTTACTGGCAAATGCCATAATTTCATTCTTTTTTATGGATAAGTAATATTCTATTGTGTGTGTTTACACACATATATATGTAAATACATACACATCACATTTTCTTTATCAATATATCTGTTGAAGGACAAGCTTAGCTATTGTGAAGAAAATGTTTATTCAATATATCAGTCTTGTCCCAAGACATTAAATTCGACATCACAAAGATAGATAGCTTGCTTGAATTTTAGAAGCCCATCAATGCTTCCGGTATATGAAAGGTGTCTCTAGTTATTTTTATTTGTCCTACAGCTGTTTGGAACTTCTGAGTCTTAACCTTATATATGCATTTAATGGAGTCAGCATAGAGCTGATACAAAAATGAATTATATTGTATGTGGTAGTAATTTAAAAAGTGCTATAGTTGAAGCCTGAAGTTTTGACTCTGCCATTAACTTATTGGGAACCACTGAACAACTCACTTTACTCTTCTGGGCCCAGTTTTCTTTGGGGTAAAATTAATGGTAGTATCATTTATTTGTGTTCTTATCATTTTATATTGAATCACTTACCTTGTTGGCTAAGCAATTTTCAATCTCAAAATTCTCAGAATCTCCAATAACTTCTCCATCTGGTAAAATGGTAAAGAGGAACACTCGTGCAATGGGAGCGATATCCAATTCCACAGAGAGGGACAGGAAAAAACTGCCTTTCACTGGAGCATGGAGAGAGTGGGAAACATGGTGGTGGTTTAGACCAACTGTTGCTTGGTTTCACCCAGTTCAGAACTGTGTCTATGCATTCAGTGGCTTAATCTCTGTGAATATTATTGTAGTTATTTGGTGATATTAATAGGCTGATGTCTCCCTCATGACTTCAATTGTAGACTAAATTAACAAAATTTCTTTCACTTACATCTTTCTTCATCTGATTTTCCACCTGATGCCTAAATCAACTTAAATATTAATAGTTTAAAGTTGCTCCATATATACATAATAAATGATGACCATTTTATTTAGACTTCAGACTAGAGGTGATTTTCAACTTAAATATAGTACTAAAATTGATAACATGTATTTTTCAAATATGTGACTTTTAAAATCTCAGAATATGAAGAAATTCATGGCCATTAGACTTCCTAAGAGAAAATGTAGATATTTGACTTTTCATTGCAGTTTTAAGCTTTTACAAGTCGTATTAATGTTTGTCTACCAGAAGTGTTAAATGATACTCAGTTACACTTTGAAAAGCACATTAAAATTTAAGACTAGCTAAGAGGAAAAAAAGGCCAGATGTAATATTTCTAGTTTCTGAATGGTTCAATGCTGACTTGAGTTTATGACCCACATTTATCTGAATAAAAGAAATAAAAAAGCCAAGGAATTTGTTTAATGATAACAAAGAGTTTGGAATATTGGTTCACAAAGGAAGAACAGAAGGGGCTGCGGTTGTGGCTCAGTGTATTGTGCTCGCCTAGCACACATGAGGCACTGGGTTCGATCCTCAGCACCACATAAAAATGAAATAAAGATTGTGTGTCCACCTTCAACCAAATAATAAATATTTTAAAAAGGGCAGAAAACAATCTGTCATTTGTTCCATATCTTCCCACCCCTTTTCCACATCCTGTACCCAGATACCTAGCTATAAGTCTTCAAAGTCCTGTGCTTCCAAGTTCTCCAGTTACATATTTTTGGTACAATTAGACTACACATAGAACAACAGAGTCTCTAGCCATTGTTGAAATTCAAAATATCATAGGACAAGAATGTCATAATTGTTGAGAAATTACAACTGATTTTCCCTTTTGACTATAAGAGTTTAAAAATATCCTTCAGGAAATTTTATAAAGTATTATATTAGGATGAAAAGTCTAATGTACAACATGAGTATTATAGTCAATAAAATTATACTGTATTTGGGATTTCTGCTGAGTAGGTTGTAGCTGCCCTTGGTACATACACAATAAAATGGGCAACCAGGTGAGATAATGTAATATATTAATTTGCATCATTATACTCACCATTTTTTACCTACATTATTCCATAACATTATGTTGCATACCTTAATTTATATACAGATAAAGTTTATCGTTTTAAAAAGTGTCTTAAAGCCCTGCTATTGGTGATGCTCAGTTAAAAACTGTTTAACTCTGTATATAATAGGGATTTTTCCCCAACCCTATGTAAACTTTACTTTAACTTAACATTGTTTACTGTGAAGTTCTTATACAGCAAAACTCTAAATTTGGGAGGAAATGGAGTTTCTGATGTCTCTTAAGCAGGGCTGTGCCATTCATATCACTGTCCAATTGGACAGATAAAATTTTAGTTCTGTTCTTGAAAAAGAAATAAATTACATGTCTAAAAGGAGTGAAATTTCAGCCCTTCCATCACTTGAGCTAAACATAGAAAGCAGAGTAGACTGATATGCCATAAGGTCAGAAAGAGAAGTTAGAACAGACATCTTTTTTGCAAAGAATAATTTAAAGAAATTAACCTCATCATTACTGACATTTGTGAAGGTTTTGTTATTTAAAATTCGTATTCTGAATTTTAAACAGACTAAAAAATAGTTCTGAAATTTGAGGAATTTGGATGCTGTACAGAATAGTGTTAAATAGAAGAAAAAGTAGGCCCTAATCTTCATCATGTGGGATTAGGCCCCAACTTCCTTCATAAGACTTCTATAGCACAAGAATTAAAACCAAGAATCAATAAATGAAATGGACTAAAACTAAAAAGTTTCTTCTCAGCAAAAGAAACAATCTGTGAAGTGAATAGGGAGCCTACATCTTGGGAGCAAATCTTTACCCCTCACACTTCAGATAGAGCACTAATTTCTAGGGTATGTAAAAAACTCAAAAAGCTAAGCACCAAAAAAACAAATAAACCAATCAATAAATGGGCCAAGGATATGAACAGATACTTCTCAGAAGAGGATATACAATCAATTAACAAATATATGAAGAAATGTTCATCATCTCTAGCAAAATAAAAAATAAAATCAATAAAATTAGAGAAATGCAAATCAAAACTACTCTAAGATATCATCTCACTCCAGTAAGAATGGCAAATATTATGAAGACAAACAAGGATACATGTTGGCAAGGATGTGGGGGGAAAAAGGCACACTCATACATTGCTGGTGGAACTGCAAATTGGTGCAGCCAATATGGAAGGCAGTATGGAGATTCCTTGGAAAACTTGGAATGGAACCCCTATTTGACCCAGCTATCTCTCTCTTCCATCTATACCCAAAGGACTTAAAAACAGCATACTACAGGGACACAGCCACATCAATGTTTATAGCAGCATAATTCACAATAGCTGTGAACCAACCTAGATGCCCTTCAGTAGATGAATGGATTAAAAAAATGTGGCATATATACACAATGGAATATTACTCTGTAATAAAAGAGAATAAAATCATGGCATTTGCAGGTAAATGGATGGTGTTGGAGAAAATAATACTAAATGAAGTTAGCCAATCCCAAAAAACAAATGTTGAATGTTTTCTCTGATATAAGGTGACTGACCCATAATGGGGTAAGGAGGGAGAGCATGGGAGGAATAGATGAACTGTAGATAGGGCAGAGGGGTGGGAGGAGAAGGGAGGGGGCAGAGAGTTAGCAATGATGGTGGAATGTGATAGACATCATTATCCAAAGTACATGTATGAAGACATGAATTGGTATGAACATACTTTATATACAGAGATATAAAAAATTATGCTATATATGTTTAATAAGAATTGTAATGCACTCCACTGCCATGTATTTAAAAAAATAAAATCAATAAAAAAGAAAAAGAAAAGAAAAATAGTGCTAGAAAATATAGGGAAAACTCATAATAATATATATTATTGATCATATATATTAAATAGTTCTGCAAATTATTATCTTAACAAGAGGACAACAAATGTTGCTGCTAACACATAAGACAGGCTCCATCTTCAGATGTGCAGAATTGTTTCTTTTTCCTATTGTAATCCCTTATTCCCACCTGGATCTATTTTTTATCCTTATCTTTATTTTATTTTGCTTTAAGTTTCTACAATTTTTCTCCTATATATATTACAATAAACCCCTAGATTTGCTTTTTGCCCTCATATTTCCTGTTAAAGCAGAAACTTTTGGAACTATTATTGTGGAATGGGAAAATGATTGCATATATTGAGTACTGATTTATAACTGTTTTCATAGATACCTGATCATAATAGCTAATTAATTGAACATGTTTTCTAAAGTTCTTTGAATGACATTTCTGCAATAAAAACATCCAGATTTTATTTAAAAAAATAACAATGGCTAGCTTCACTTAGCATAATCTGCTCTAATGCCATCCATTTCCCTCCAAATTCTATGATTTTGTCATTTTTTAAAGCAGAGTAATACTCCATTGTGTATAAATGCCACATTTTTTTTATCCATTCATCTATTGAAGGGCATCTAGGTTGGTTCCACAGTCTTGCTATTGTGAATTATGCTGCTATGAACATCGATGTAGCAGTGTCCCTGTAGCATGCTCTTTTTAGGTCTTTAGGGAATAGACCGAGAAACAAATGCCAAATGTCTTCTTTGATAATAAGGAGAGTAACTAAGAACAGACTAGGGAAGAAGAGCACGAGAAGAAGACCAACATTAAACAAGGATGAGAGGTGGGAGGGAAAGGGAGAGAGAAGGGAAATTGCATGGAAAGGGAAGGAGACCCTCAGGGTTCTACAAAATTACATACAAGAGGAAGTGAGGGGAAAGGGAAAAATAATACAAAGGGGAGAAATGAATTACAGTAGAGGGGGTAGAGAGAGAAGAGGGGAAGGGAGGGGAGGGGAGGGGGGATAGTAGAGGATAGGAAAGGCAGCAGAATACAACAGACATGAGTATATCAATATGTAAATCAATGCAAGTGTAACTGATGTGATTCTGCAAGCTGTATACGGGGTAAAATGGGAGTTCATAACCAACTTGAATCAAAATGTGAAATATGATATATCAAGAACTATGTAATGTTTTGAACAACCAACAATAAAAAAAAAAATAACAATGGGAGCCAATCCAAGTTGATCAATTAAAAGAGTCAAAGTTAAACAAGTCGTGAACAAATTTGTTCTTTAATTACAGAAAGGGTTTTCAATGATTCTTTATGGAGAGCAATTGCATAAGTAATAACAATTAAAACATACAATTATAATTGTTTTCTAATAAATAATTGATTTGATAATAATTGATTTTATTTTCCAAATTGGTAGGGAGAAGAATCATAAAAATGAAAGAAAATGTTAGACACAGAACAAATTCAAATAGTCATTAAATTTAGCTAAGCGGTGAGGTGTAGGTTGGCAAAATGTTTGCCTTAGGTTAAAATTTAATTACTACAATGTTCATGGGTTCTCTCTTCAGTGGTCTAATCCTTCACATGGATTAAATTAGCATAGAAAACAACCATGGTTCCCTTCTCCCAACTTATTCATGATGTACTTAGACTTTAAAAGGTTTTTATTTTACTGTCAAATAGAATAGATGAACTAAAGTGAAAAAACTAGTTACCTTAAAAGAGTATCTGAGGGGTTTTCAAGATGGTGGAATAGAGGCAGTCATTTTCCTAGCTGCTGCATGGATCGAAACCAAGAAAGCAGACAGGCAGTTTTCTCAGCAAGTTCGGCAAACAAAAAATGTGGGGGACTTTTCTGGAATTTAAAACTGGGCATTCAAAGCAGATCAGGACTCAGGAGGTCAGATGTAATAAAATAAGGACGAAATCCCCAGCAGCACAGTCTGAAGCACCAGTGGCCAGACACGAAACACCAGCCAGAGTGGTCCCTCCTGAGCATGGTAGAGGGATAAAGGAGTTAAAGGAACCCACATTTTTAGGGAGGCCTGAGGTGTATCTGGGTATGGGGCATTTAGAGATCAAGGACGTTGCCCAGCAAATCTGAAGGACTTGTTGCACAATATCCATGTGTGGGAAAAGAAGCCTCCATCTCTCCAGGCAGCGTGCAGAGGACAAAGAAAGGATTCATTTTGCAGCCCCTGTATGGGGACAAGCAGCTGAAGGGGGCTGATTCCTGGCAAATCTGAGTTTGGCCCCAAATATAGACCTGGAAACACACACTGCATGGCACAGAGTGTGCTTAAGTGACCAGAAAAAAAATCAAATGTGGAGAAAGATTTATACCAGGGGCAATTGGTTGTGAAAACCCACCCAGCTCTACCTTTCCCCCTCCAATGGCTGGAAACTATGAAGGCAGGGGCACAAGTGTTTGAAAACTGAACCCAAGACCAGGAAATGTGGTATCTGAAGGTGACAACCACCAATGCAAGAATTGGGTCCCCCAACCACATGGGTGGAACCCAGGAGAGAACCCTGGGATACAGTCTTCCAATATGGACCAGCAAGTAGTGGGCACTAGAAGTGCACTGATTTAAAATCTCCAGACCAGTTGGCATTCAGCAAAGAGCCTAGATCCCACCTAAACCTAAACTATGCCTCTAGGAATTCTACCTGTGGGATTATCACTGTCATTACAGCAATCTAAAGGGTGGAACATGACACTCTGGGTGCCCCTACCTAAAACTGCTGAGAAGAGAAACTGAGAATCTTCTTGAACTCCAACGGAAAGAATTCTTTAACTTTTCACATGATTTTTAAAAAATTCTTTTTCTCTGTTTAATTGTGACCTTGATGATAAATGGACATTCCCATTTCTAGCATTTTTGAAGCTAGTCATTTTTCATGGATTAGTTTTTTTGTGAATTAGAGTGTTTGATTGGTATAGTTTTGTTTTGTATTCTTCTATTTTTTATTTTTTAAAATTTTAGTTTATGTTTTTTCTCCTGTTTTTTAATTTATGTTTTTTTTCTCCTTGATTCTCTCCTTTCTTCTGCTAACAGCCAATCTCTATATTGTCTGTTTCATTCTTCCTTTAATTTTTTACTTCTTCCTCTCTCTTCCTCCCTCATAATCATCCCATCCTATATCATTTCTGTTCTCTCTCTGTCCATCATTTGAAATTATAAATCCTTTTGCAAACTTGCTGTTTTTATTGTAGGAAGTAACTGATCATATCATTTATGTTTATTATGATAATTAACATTGTAGATGTCATAGTAGGAACTATTTGGTTTAATGTTGTAAATTGTTTGCATTGGTGGTTCTTATTATTTGTCTTCCCCTAAACAGTGAGGTACGGGAAACCTTCAAGGACACCATTTAAGCCCACAGGATACAAACTCTACCCATCTAACAGTATAAATCTGAGGCAGTAAACACACAAACAATGTGAAAAAGCAAGGGAACAAATCACCCCAAACAAACGTAGATACTCCAGTAACAGAATCCATCAATATCACAGTGGATGAAATGTCAAAGAAGGAGATTAGAATGTACATAGTTAAACTGATTTGCTAAGTAAAGGACAGTATAAGAAATGAAGTGAGAGAGAAAATACATGAATTGTACCTCCTCAATAAAGAGGTGGAAATAGAAAAGACTGAAGGTGAAAGGATGGGAAAAAAACATATCACTCACTTGGATCACCTAAACAAGCAGGGGTTTCTATCCTCATATCAGATAAAGTGGACTTTAACCCAAAGTTAATAAGGGACAAAGAAAGCCATTTCATACTGTGTTAAGGGAATTATAAATCAACAAGACATAATAATCATAATGTTTATGTCCCAAACAATGGAGCATCTACGTACATCAAATAAACTCTTCCCAATTTCAAGAATCAAATAGACCACAACACAATAATATTGGGTAATTTTAACATGCCTCTGTCACTGAATAGGTATTCCAAACAAAACTAAATAAAGAAGCTATAGAAGTAAAACATACAATTGATAATTTAGACTTAACAGACATTATATTTTATCCATCAATGACAGAATATACTTTATTCTCAGCAGCACACAGATCCTTCTTTAATATAGACCATGTTATATGTAAGCTATCACATACGTTGGCACACAATTGTAATATTATATTAATATATTTCTAACATCCATAGGGTTATTTTGATAGCTCCCTTTCCATTGATATTAATTTTTGTGCTTTTTATTGATTAGATTTTTATCAAATTTTATTTGTATTATTTCTTTTCTATTTCATATATTTTTGTTCTTACTCTTTATTTTTTCCTTCCTACTACATAATTTGAAAGTAATTTTATTGTTATTCTGGCTTCTTCCCGATATGAGTACTTTGTTATAAATGTTCATCTGAGTACTCTTTCATCACAAAGATCCTGATATTTTAAGCTTTAATTATCACTTAGTTCAAAGCACTTTTTATTTACTTTTCTTGTGCTTTCTTACTTGACCTCTAGACATTTATAAATGCCATTTAATTTTGAAATAGTTGACACGTGGGGGTGGGTTTCTACATATCTTAAGGTGATTGATTTCTAATGTAATAAATCATGAAGGGTACATGCTGCATGATTTCAAATTAAAAAGAAGTAATGGAAATGCTTTTTTATATTGATTGTATTGGTTACATACATGTCAAAATTGATCAAATTGCATACTTCAAATATGTGCATTTTATTGTACCTCATTTTTATCTCAATAAAGCTATGGGGGGAAAAGAGTGTCTGATCTATGGTAGGCAGTCAAACATGTCTATTGACCATTTAAAAAGATGCCAAAGAATCATAAGGAATTTCTATATTTTTCTTATTGTCTTTCTTCTTGTTATGAGGGAATAATAAAAATAATTTCTCCATTTGTGAACTGTCACTGAGGGGTAAGAATAAATGTGTTAATGAACAAATGGGGAGATGGGTTTGAAGGGTACTCACTGTCTCCTGACTCCACAGACAGAGCATGGGTCCCTGATCTGACTATGCTTCCCTTAGCCATGATCTGAAATGAAAAATCAACAGAAAAGAGACTTGACATCTTTGACCTTGACCCACTTTGGTTTGTTGAGTCTGCTGGAGGGAATCAACCTCATAAAAAGTAAGAGTCAAGGGAGCATGGATGAGAATTACTTGTGGTGCACAAGTAATTTATTGTGACATTCTTGGACCCATTGACCACTTCTGCAAACTGATAAGACCCGAAAACATTCCACTGCCTTATTCTTACCAGGTAATAGAAAATGAGTTCTTTGAGCTTTCCCATGGCTTGTCCATCCAGTATATAGTGTGCCTTGATATTCTGTGTTTGGCCACAGGGCAGGGTACCAGCCACAGGCTCCAGGTAAAGGTAACTCCCACTTAAGGAGAAAACATGACTTGCAGTATGCTGAGCTCCCTGGTGTTCTTCTTGGATCCATATATAGTTAAAACATGTGTTAGGTTGCTGGTGGATGACCTGATACAACAGAAAAGCAAAGAGACAAAATTATCTTGAAATTCTTTAGTTAGTTTCTTATCAAAATGAATAGTTAAAACTATGTGTCTTCTTTTCTGTGTCTCCCTCATCCCTGCTGACTACTAAATACCGGAGCTGTCAGTATCCCTATGTTGAAGATATTAAAAAGAAGTCATCCACAGACTTGTCTCCTTTGTCCTGATTCTGCTGACTTATCACTTCTTTGACATTTCGTTTTTCTTTTTTTTTTCTTCTACTTTTCAGAGCTAGAGGAATGATATTCAAATGGAAAGTATAAATCATCCAAACATAAAAGAGAATCATCACATAACTGAAACCTTTTGTAAATTGCTTTATTGAAATTATATATAAATGTAATATATTATCTTACTGACCTAAAAATTGCTTATAAATAATCCTCAAAAGATTTGCATTCAGAGCAGCTGCCGCCGCATCCCCATCCCGAGCAGCAACCTCCCGCCGCCAGTCTTCAAGTTCACCGAACCCCAGCGCCGACTCCTCGCGCCTTCCGCACCCTGGGGGCTTGGTGCGCAGCCCGCCACCCAGCCCGGCTGGTGGGGTGCCCTGGCGCACGCGGCGGAGGAGCCCAACGCCCGCACCTCGCTGCGTGCTCCCTTCTCCCTCTCCAGGTCTGGCGCGCGCGGCCAGCTAGGGGCCACCCCAGGAGCGATCCAAAAAAGAGAAGGGTTCGTGAGCGAGCTCGATCAAACACCTGAGGCATAGGAGAAGGGCTGGGGAGGACTGGAAGGTCTGCAGGATGTGGAAGACAAACAGCGGGGAACCCTCCCTCCTACCCTCTGCTACAGACTAGTGACTGTGCCTGGCACTTTGGGAGAGCCCTGGCCGAAGGCAGGAGCACAGCGACGGGGAGATTCTTTTTTTTCCTAATATTTACAGGAATGGCTCATCCTGTTTGTGAGCCTTTCCTGCTGATGGTAATTACACAGTTGTTTTGTTTTTGTTTTTGTTTTTAAAAGGACAGTTAGTAATGATGGAAATCCTGTCCTCCTCCTTCCTCAGAGAGGTGTGTCTCCTTGCACAAAGAGCAGGAAAGGTCGGTTCTTCTAGAGACAGACAGGGCCGAGATCTAATAAGTCTCTTCCTCTACGGAGTGGTTCCTGGTCCACCCAGCCCTGCCTGGCAAGGTCAGAAAATGTTCATGCACAGGCTGTCCCCCAACACGTGCGACTGAAAAATTGCCTCTTCAAAGAACAGTGTGTTACTGCTGTCAGAATGAGCAGCCTTCTGATCCTTCCCACCAACTGCTCCTGGAGGTTTTGTCCCCCTGGGAGGACTTTGGTCTACTCTGCTGCACGGAAAGGTGTGCTCCCTGAGGGCCAGCCTGGAATATAAACCAATTTATATTCCATAAAGTCTAGGCCATTCTTTTTTTTTTCTTACATACATGACAATAGTGGAATGCATTACAATCACAATTATCCATTCACAGCACAATTTTTCGTAACTCTGTATATAAAGTATGTTCATGCCAATTTATGCCATTAAAAAAAAGATTTGCATTCATGCTTCTTTTCATGATTTCCAACTTTTAAGGCCTATGTAGTTCCTGGAACTTTAAACCTTCACAGATGTTTAGCACATAATTCCATATTCCCTAAAAAGTCACTGCTCCTTAGGTCTTTTCTTGGTGCATAATTTTTTTTTCCTAAATTTATTTGACATATTTTACAGACTAATCTATTTGATCCCATAATAAAATTTCTGTTTGTTTAAAAACTATTATACTTAGATACATTATACTAATAATTTACAGGTCTGTTAACTTTAAGGATATTTCAACTATTTTAAGTGTAGGGACTCTGCTTATTTATCTTTTTGGTCCTAGGGAGGAGCAAGTACCCATTACATGGAAAACATTTAACATCATCACATACTTTTAAACTTAATTAGCAGGAATATTGGCAATTAGAAATAATTTAAATACTCTTTATCTAAGCTAGAATCAACAAATTATAGTCTTTTACCACTTTTTGTTTATGATAACAAGAAAACTTTTAGCTATAGAAATCTTTTGATCATCATCATTAGATAATATATACAAGGTGTGTGTGTATTCATGATCACTTTACAAAATACCTAAGTAGATGTGAAAATATATAATATAAATTTCATTAATAAGTGAAGCAGCTGATATTATTCAGGACCCAAATCAAATAAGATTTATATTTACACAGTATATAAAATTTTACAAATAATCTAATGAAATTATCAGTCACTTCTATAATATACTTTTCTAATGTCTTAATTATTTTTCATGAAATTCAATTATCCTCAAATATCTAACCTTGAAGTCTGGATTTCTTATTTCTTTCAATTGCAATGTTTGCTCTGAATATTTCATTGTTACTAATGTTATTTCTCTCTCTTTATCCTCAGAGGGTTTATTTATTGTGGTACTTACCGTAATAAAAAGTTTGTTGGTTAAGATGTTAGTGGTATTGATTGAAAACTGTACAAGACCCTGTTCATTGGTAGTTGCATTGTAAAGATAATTGGCTTCACTTGCAGAGATGAAGATCAATTTATTGGGAATGGGAATACCTTTCCCATCCACCAGAAGCACCTAAAGAAGAAAAAATATTCGATAATTTATAGGGAAAACAAAGAGAACAGAACTCATGTGCACATATGCCTTTAATGCTGTAACTAAGTTTACTACGAGGCTTTTCTTCCATTTGGGCTCCTCCGGTGCTTCCATAACTGGTTTATTTTTGAAACTCCTTGGTATTCCTTTAAGATCAGGGAGGTTTTATTATTTTTTAAATTATGTTGCTAGTCAGAGGTTTTTTAGTAATTACATTTGATATTTAATAATTTAGTAATTACATCTAGTGCCAAAATTATAGGAATCAACTTAAAAGGGCTGCTTTCCCCTTTTCCTTTAGCAGGAGGCTAGAGTGTTTGGCTGTGCTCACTCTCCTCCTCCCTGAACAAAACATTTCTCTGTGCTTCACCTTCCCACTGGGGCTAGCAGTAGTGCCTCCTTCATATGTAGCAGTGAAGATTAAGTAAAGTAATCCACATAAAATATATTAGAAGATATCTGACACAATTATTCCACAAATATTGGTCAGTAACATTACTATTATCTCCTGAAATAATCAGCTATGGAAACCCACATGAAAATATTTCTTTTTGAGGAAAATTAAATAATTATAAAACCAATGAAATCAATTCTTAATATAAATAAAATCAGTATTTGCCTTTCTTTATTATTCTTAAATTATATATCTTACATATTAAAACAATACAATAATAACTACGAAATGCATGATATAATAATACCTATACCTAAAATTAGAACTGTTTATTCACCTATTTCTAAGTAGAACAGTTACAAAGAAAGCACTGGCAGCCATAAACTGGGAGTCAGTCACTTGTGAGAAACTGAAAGTTCCAGATAGCTGGGTGAGTACTTTACTCTAGATTTGTACATTTCATCAGTGATATTTACAAAGGGAAGTTCTAGTTTTTGGTTTCATGACTTTGGTCATATTGACTAATTAATAACTAATCAAGTATGGGTTACATCACTGGGCCCTGGACTTATATCAACAGGAAATTTTGCCTACTTGTGAGTTACACTGTACCTGTCCAGAAAAGGGGATTCCTCGTCTAAAGTGTGAGTCCACTTTCACAAACTTGAGTTTGGTGGCAATGTTTGTGATTTCACTGGTCCCATTTCCAGTGAATATCAGGTCTGAAAAATATACAGAAAAGAGTAAATACTCTTGAAATTTACTTTAGTCCTAAAATTTCCTTCCTATGTCAACTTTTCTTAACCTCATTTTGTTATGAGAAATAAATCAATGTTTAGTATTTTATCTCCCATATTCATTTAGTACTCAACCTGTTCCCTCTTCTCTGATCTTGGCTTCCACTCTGAGTTTCATTTCGTAGCCCGAACTTTTAATCTGAATCAAGTTGGTTTTTACTTGTTGGGTGATGCAGCCATCACTGTTGAGCTGAGAACACAAAGACAATAAATGTCAAGCTGATTAAGATGCATAGTCACTAAATTTATTTTCTTTCTAATGCCAAGGAAACTTTTTTGGGTTAAATTGTTAATTGACCTTCAGGAACTTCATATTCATTTCTGCTTTGTAATCTCTAAGGTTAATTTTTCAATGACTCTTATTGACTAAGAATAGAAAGTTCTGTTTTGGATAAGGGATATTTTGGGACAAGTTTGTCCTATTATTCTCCTTCTAGCTTGTAAAATAGAGCGCCCTCCTGGCTGAAATGGTGATAGTACCAAGAAAGAACACTGAATACTAACCGGCTGACTGAATTCCTCACAGAACTCTTTCTTGTAACAATTACCATGATGAAATAGTTTTCTGCACATGCTCACAGTTGCAAGTCCTGGGACTGGTTTCCCATAGGTGTATCTATCACGTGAGAAACAAATCAGGAATTGAGAAAGGCCACCTGCATTTCCCACTACCAACCCTCCACAAGCCTTATAATAGTTAGGCTGTCACATTTCTTTATCCAGCCTGCTCCCTCTGCTATTGCTTATTTGCCGGAATGAGTTTTATTCTCAAGGCTAAAAGAAACTCGAGTTATCTGATTTCACAAAAGATAAAAGTGAAAGGGATCTTTATAGATCATGTTCACTCCCTCAATTTGCTACTTAAAAATTGGGGCTCAGCTGGTCCTGATGGGGCATGCCTGTAATCCCAGCAACAAGGAAGGCTGAGACAGGAGGATTGCAAGTTCAAAGCTAGTCTCAGCAATTTAGTAAGGCCCTAAGTAACCTAATGACAACTTGTGTTTAAATAAATAGATAGGCCTGGGGCTGTGGCTCATTGGTTAAATGTCCTTAGGTCCAATTTCCAAGAAAAAGGAAGAAAGAATTGAGGCTCAGGAAAAAAAAAAAAAAGAAAAAAGAAAGAATGGAGGTTCAGAAAAATAGCACACCTCAATAAAATAGTGTCACTGGTAGTGTTCTCATGACTGCTTATTTCAACCTGTTATCCTTATAGTCATAGTATCAGTCATTAGATCATTTATTTTATGTGTAAGTCACTTTGTTAGAATTCTAATTATTGGCTTCTGCCCAGTAGTTTTGACCTATGATCTTTTCTATGTTTTCAGTCAGTCTCATTAGAGCCTCCTCCTTCTTGATCCATGTCAGGATTAGTAATTATGGTATATACATGAAGAAAAGGAGAAAATAAAATATCCTAGAGTAGAAAATTCTTAGAGAATTATTATTTAAGGCTATTAAATAATTAGTTCCATCACTGTACCAAAGAATCTATATTAATCATTAAAGTATTTTCTTAATATTGCCCAGTGGAGAGATTAAACATAATTAATTCAGTGTTCCATGAGAATCAAGAAGGCAGTTCCAGCCAGTGAAATGTTTAGGATCTAACAGGCCTTTTCTCTTCAATAAATTAGTGCCATAGGGAGAAACAAGGCTACAAATTTTAAGATATTAAGATATTTATAGGTTTCTATGGTTTGCTTTAAATTCTTAAAGCAAAATAAAAGTACTATAGAGAGAGTAAATGGAGTTAAAATATGGAGAATTTCATAGTTTTTTTTTTTTAATAGGTACCAGACACATGAGATTTCGTTTTACTTTTCTGTTAACTTCTGTACTTGGTTGAAAATTTCCATCATAGAGAGTTGAAACAAAGAGTGCTTATGAGTTAAAATTGCCAAAAACAATGTGTAATCACCTCTAGAAACATTCAGAAAAATTTGAGGATTTGAATATAAGTTTATAACTAATATTGAAAAATACTTTAAATTTTGCTGGTGTAATAATGGTATGTTGTAAGTGGGAAAATACCTCTATTTATTTAGAGGTATGTATTTGGGGAAAATTTTGTGACCTCTAATTTAATCTAAAATATTAAAGCAAAAAAAATGATAAAAATATAGAAAGCTAAATAACGATTAAGGACGTCTTTTTTCTTTTCTATATTTGTGATTTTATTAATAAATACTCAAAGGGAAGTCAGTGGAATACTATTATAAAAGTGCCCAGGGAAACTAAATTTATTATCTATACTTAGATAAATAATTATTCAGAATTGAGGCCAATTATGACAATGTAGATAAAACAACTCACATTCCACATACTGTTATTTCCACTTTTTCATCCAAGATACTGATTATCTTTGGCACTTGAACTTTGACCTCAAATTTGGGAAGCACTGTCAATAGAGATAATGATAAAAAGAGAGGCTGGTGAACATTTACTGGAAATGCAAACATTTTTGACATATCTATAATTTTCCCTCAAATGGTACTCTGAAATGTTATATGAATTTTTCAATGCATTAACTTTAAGATGGCAAGACTTAACAATCCATGCAGAACCAGTTAAAACAGACTCTAACCACAGTAGATTTTAATGACACTAACAGATGATGATAGTTGTATTTAAGTAAGAATTTTCATATTTTTCAAAGAATACTGAAATGATTTTACAAACCCTTTTGACTTTGTTTACATAATCATGATGGCTTTCTTTAGAGATAGGTTTAACTGTCTTTAATTCAATTTCAACATACCTATGGAAAATTTAAATGATTTAAGTGAATGCATATTTTATGTACCAGAAAAGTCCTGCCCTTCCCACTTATATCATCCATACCAAATTCCTCCACAGTGAAGGAGTGCTCTGCTGTTCCACCTGATTCTTTCTGTACCACCACTTTGTAGGAGCCCTGAATAGGCTCTGATGAGAGGGGAAAGGAGAGTTGACTCAGGCCACTTTCTAACTTGAGATTCTGCCACTGTGCAATTCTATTTCTTTTTGGGTTCTAAAGAAAAGCAAGAAGCACAGGGAGTGATCATTAAGTTATGATGGTCCTTGAACATTACCAATAATTTTGAGGGTGGTAATTAGCGTTGCCTTTGGGAAAGACAAATGTAGAAGGAAGATAAAATACAATAAATTGGGCTTCAGGGAGGAGGAATATTTGAACTTTCTAACACATCAAAATACTAACTTCCTTTGAGATGCTTACCTCAAGGTATATCAGTGGAATCTATAGGAAAAAAGGAAAGAAGTAATGTGGTTATTACTATGTGTTGCTATTTCCCTGAAAAATATTATTTAATAATATCCTTTGAATATTTACATCCTCCTAATGAAGATATGACTACAGTATTTACTTTCACAAGAGAAGTATATTCATATATTTATATGTCATTTTGACTTAGACCCAGTAGGAAGAGAATTTCCAGAATTATTTGATTAAAAGCAAACCAAGACTATTACTTCTACTAGAAGAGAAGCGTTCAAAGAAATAATAAATGCTAAATGAGATGGAAATGCTAATTTTTATGATTTGGTGATTACATATTGTATACATGTATCAAATTATTATCCTGTGCTTCCTAAATATGTATGATTACTGTGTCAATTAAAAAATGTTAAAAAAAATAGCTTTGTTATTTTGTCATATGTTGAAGGCCAGTTGGAGCAAGTGTTGTTCAGTAAGCACATCCAACTCTATATTGTATATATTTTCTAATATATGTATTAAATATAATAATTATTAATAATTCATTATCCTTATTGCAGTATATTCAGAGCAATTAAATGTAGCTATTATCAGATTGATTAATTACTGTTAAAGAGAAAAGACTTCTTCATCTCCTGCCCCTCAACTTTGTCCTATATGAGACTCTAGAATTTTGGTGAGGCTGGAGTCAGGTCACAAAGGGAATATCTTTCATCATCTTGCTCTTCTTGGACCTTCCTGCCTGGTTTTGGAAGAGTAGTCCCATCTTCCCCCCACCCCCCACCCCCATTTCATAGACATAGGATGCTTACCAGTTCATTTTGGGGGTGAAAATTTTCATCCAGGGAGACAATACGAAATCTCACTAAAAAACAAATTATCTTGTAAGATTCATACCCAGAAAAGTAGATGATTTGGGTTATTAGTCAAGAAGATAAAGGATTGGATGATGATGACTTTCGCTGGAAAACCTGCAGGGGAGGTGGCCCTTCCTTCTCAGTGTTGCCCTGGCTGAGGAAATTTCTTTACATACCTGTCTGGCCCGGTTTGTAGATGGGTTTGTCTGTCTGGACAAAGACCAGACTTTGAGCATTCTTCACCAGCACTGTGTTCTTCTTCCTGAAATCTTGTGTAGGTCCCTTTATTTGGATAGTGAGGAATCCTACCTCTGAAGAAGATAAAATCCTTGGGAGCTAAAAAACAAATATTTTATAATTGAGGAACTCTACACCCATTCCTTCTGAGTTCTTAATTATTATTTCTATCTGTTCTTTAGCTTAAAAGCAGCTTGGTAGAAAAGACTGTTTCTCTGGATATAGGAACAAAGACATTAACATAAGAAATAGGGGAAATTAATAAGAGCAGCCATCAGCAGAACTCAAATAGATTAGATTATGAGAACTGTAATCTCATAACTGGATTAATCCACTTGATGAATTAATAATTTGAATGAACTACTGAGTGGGCATGGCTAGAGAATATAGGTCCTTGGAGGTGTACCCTTGGTGACTATATCTTGTCCCTGAGTCCTCTGCCTCTCTATCTCTTTCGTCTCTGTCTTTCTCTGCTTCCCAGATGCTACAAGGAGAGTAGCTTTGTTCTGCCACACTCTTTTGCCATGATGTCCTGTCTCACCTCATGCCCAGAACAATGGTGTCAGCCAACTATGGTTGCTATGTCTGAAACCATGAGCCGAAATAAACTCTTCCTTCTCTAAATTGTCTTCTGGCATTTTGGTCACAGAACAAGAAGTTGACTGATATAGACTTCTAGGTATTAAAACACATTTCTTTTAACTGAGTCTATGAATATTCCTTGTCCTGAAAAAAAATATGGGAGAATATAAGAACTGAGCATGACCCATTAGTCAACCTCAAAGAGGTACTGGATGTTTGCTTGGAGAATTTTGCAGGATTGAAACATTCAGATGACATCTAACATGCATCACAAGAAAAAAATGCACTGAATGCAGAATTATCTTTGTATAATCTGCTCCTAGGCAATGTCCAATCCTGACTCTTTCAGAGAAAAATATATGTCAAAACTGGAAAACTCCTCCATGTTATACTATTTTTGTGGGCAACAGGATTTTTGTTTAGGAATTAAACTAAACTTTGGCATTTAGAAAATATTTTCCCCCTACTCTAGTGGAAGATGCATGCTTTGTAGCTGAGAAGTTACAGTCTATGGTCTTTGTGGAAGACCTAACAACATTCTTAAAGTGATTACTTGGGATTGAACACCAGGTTCCTATCACGAGGACTAGCAGAACTCATTGAGACAGGCATTGCAGCCAGTACTCTAGTAGTACTCACAGTGAAGGAGATGCAATGGAATAAGTCCTTCTCCACCACCAGGTCAGTAAAGAGGCTTCTGTTTTCCCTTAGAGACTCCAGAGAAGCACTTATAGTTACTGTCTCATTCAAGTGGCTAAGAAGGAGGCAGGCCTTCTCAGGGGTCACAGTGTGGAGAAGGGAGGGGACCAGCACCATATAATGTCTGGGAAGGTAAGAGGTTAAATCAGAGAAAAACCTATAATAATAAGCATTGTCTTCTGTGTTTTCCAGAACAATAGTATTTATAGCTGTAATTGGTTCTGTACCAAGAGTCAATAAACCAAGAGCAATAAGATGGTGATTCTGTAGCTAATTTGCAATTAAGAACTATTATTTTTGTATATCTTGTACTACTTTTGCCCATACATCATCAACATGAACTCATATCTTAATTTTTTTTTAAATAGAAAACTTGGTACAAGAATCCTAATATTACTTTGTTATGTAAAGAGCAGAGAGTTGGAGGGGAGAATACCAAAGGTATTTGATCTGTGGAATACAGAAGTGAAGTTTGTTTCCTCATTCTCCAGGTGGTCTACTCCTACACATCAATCTTTCTTTATGTGTTTTGAAGAATTTCTTGGCAAAAAAATATGTCATGAATTTTTAGGGTCACTCTTAAATAATGTAAATCTCATATTTTTTTTTGCATGACTACTAAGTTTTTATTATAAAAAAGAGAAGGTCATGGTAATTATGTAACTTACCCATGGTCATTCGACTTGTACTTCTCATCTAACTCTTCCCTGGCACCTGAATTTTCTGAGATCTTGTGTACTGTTCTTTCAAGGATCTGATACATGATAAACATTATTTTTTGCCTTCCCATCCAGCTTTTTCCTCTAGTTCTTTGATCTCAGTAGGAAAGGAGACATAAGTGTATAATTGACTCAATATACTATTTTTTTAAAAAATTTTAAGCCTACTTGATAACAACTTAAAATTTAATTATATACATAGTTGATATTCTAAACAACTATTTCATAAGGGTTTGGTTAATATTCAATCTAATAGATACTGAAGTTGGGACCCACTGAGGTTGAGTAATTTGCCCAAGATTTCACCTGCAGTTAGCAACCGCAATGTTTCAATATATTACTCAACCATGAATGTTTGCATTTTAAATATTTGCCTTTGGAGTAGGAGCTAAATTTTATAAATATTAAACTGATAACTTTTAATTTAACTATTTTCACCTGTTCCTTTGAAACTTTAGTCTCCTGGAATCTTACTGTCCCTAGAAGAGGGAAACAGATACTTTGTCTCTTTGTCACTCTCTCAATTCTCACATCAAAGTCTAACTCTGGAGAGATAAGATAAGGATTTCTTCACTGTGTAGAGAAAAATCCCCTTCTGTTTATGATAACTAGATTTACTGCTATTTGCTAAAAGGTGGGCATAATGATTTTCAGTGGATGGGATAATCCTGTGTAGTGTAGACTGCATTTGAGGATACAAACTGCTTTGTATTTCTGAACCCAATAAATGCCTCTTGCTTTATTCATTCAACCTGCACTCAGAACACCAAGTAACCTCTACCTATAATCAAATACTATCTGGACGGGGAGCAGTGGGAGTTGATTTATCTGCAGTTGCAGATGAAGTAGAGGAATGTTGGGAGAGAAATTCACCTGTATTGGTTGATGAAAAATTGTGCAAAAAAGAAGCCTAAGGAAGACAGAAAAGTTAGTTGATCAGAGTACTAATTCCTGCTTCCCATACTTTGGCCTGAACAGGGCCAACTGTGGCAGATGAATAAGGTAACAACAGATGGAGGGTCCTCTTACCTCTCTACCAATTTTGAACTCTGGAGGTTGCCCTCTATAGGTCTGAAATGTAGCTTCACCAAAGTCATCTGGCAGTACAGTGCGTGTAGGCAAAGGAGGGTTAGAAGTTTAACCTCCCTAGGACACCTCAGTGTGTATGTCTTCTTATCAGATCTAAGAATTCCCACCATTCTCTGAAGAATGTAAATGTAGCTTGGTTTAGGCCAGGGACCCTAGATGAGCCTCAACTGCAAAGGAGCACACTGACTGTGCAGCCTAAGCTATGTTGGAATCATAGTGACTTTACTGAATGTAGAATGCAGTAGAACGTTGGGGTTCAATGGGAGGTGAAAGAGCTGAAGTGAGACAGAGTCAACCAGAGGACTTTTACATCTTGATCAAAGAGAGAAACCAGCTGTCTAGTGACTCCAACAGTACATGCTGGCAGGTAAAAAGAAATCAGATTAACAGTGCAAAAAGAGACAGAGAACTCTGAGGCCAAGCACTCTGTCCCTCTTCTCCTCCAGAAGGTTATAGAGACTATAACCCTCTAGACACTATCTTGGAGAAGGAACTAGGGAGACAGCAAAATGCAATTATTGTATTTCATCAAATTTAAAATTGGATAGGACTAAATTTATTTTTTTCCCATTGACCAATAATTGGGGACTTTTCATAAAGCCTTGATAAATGATTAAATAATAAAGGAGCTGTCCTTTCTGTACAAATCTGACCTACAGTGTGAGTTAAGTTGCACCCCACTATACACCCTGATATTTTTATGTTCAATGCCCTCTGTCCAAAAGAACCTTCATGAGAAAGTAGAGTATGAGGTTTCAAATTGTGCTTCCTAGTGCCTACTTCTTGTATTTATGATGATTGGTCCACTGGAAAGAAGTGATTTCAAGAGTTGAGAATATGTGAAAGAAAAAAAATGGGTTTACCAAGATAATCTTCTCTGACTTAAAGGTACCTTAATCAGTGGAAAGGTAGCATTTAATAGGAAAGGCAAAGTAAAGATAAAAGGGAAAGACTGATATAAAGTCTTGAGATTTCAGTGAGACTTACGGTTCTGCAGAGTCTGAGTCATTGGCAGAAAACAAGACAAGAAGTAACACCAAACATAAATGAAGAAGCTTGTCTTTGCCCATAGTGAGAGACAAATCTCAGGTGTGGTGGTGTTCCCAACACCTTGCCCTCAGCTTGATCTCTGAGACTCTCTATATTGACCAGGCTTTACGTGGAAGCTATTTTTAAACAAGCCCCACCCAAGTCTTTTGATGAGAGGTCAGAATGGGGCACAGGTTCCCAAAAAGGGTCATTGCTCTTATATTGCCTCATTCTTTTTAAGGCTAAATTCTAACAGGCTCTGAGGTATTCCTGAAGGATAAAATTCATATTCTAGTTAGAATAAACTTTAACTTCCATTGTAAACTTCTGATGAAGGATCTTCAATGAAACTTTCTCCTAAAAATTCTCACATGCAAATAACAAAGGAAACTGTATTTGAAGGTGATGGGATGTATCACTGTGATGTCATTTAATATACAGATTTCTTTCCAGGATTGAGGGAAGTCAAGTTCAGGAGGATTTATTTTTGACAGTGGATTTCTGGTCCTGGAAGAAAATGATTAAAGTGACGTACTTTGGGTATAGACCAAGGAGTGGGCTAGCTGGGTCAAACAGTGGTTCAGTTCCAAGTTTTCTAAAGTATCTCCACACTACCCCAAAGTGGTTGTGCCAGTTTGCAATGTGCCATTTTGCAATCCTGCCAGCATTGAATCAGTGTATCTTTTCCCTACATCCTCACCAGCAATGATTATTGTTTGCTTTTTTAATAATTTCCATTCTGACTGGAGAGAGATGAAATCTTAGAGTAGTTTTGATTTACATTTCTCTAATTGCTACAGATGTTGACCATTTTTTCATAAATCTGTTGACCGATTATGTATCTTCTTCTGTGAAGTATTTGCTCATATCCTTAGCCTATTTATTACTGTTTTTTTTTGGTGTTAAGTTTTTTGAGTTCTTTATATATCAGAGATAAATGCTCTATCTGATGAGCATGTGGTAAAAATTTGCTCCCATTGTGTAGACTGTCTCTTCACTTCATTAATTGCTTATTTTGCTGAGAAGAAGCTTTTTAGTTTGAATCCATCCCATATATTTATTCTTGATTTTACTTTTTGTGCTTTAGGAGTCTTGTTAAAGAAGTCAGGGCCTAATCCAACATGATGAAGATTTGGGCCTGTTTTTTTGTTTTTTTGTTTTTCTATTAGTTGCAGAGTCTCTGGCCTAATTCCTAGGTCTTTGATTCACTTTGAGTTGAGTTTTGGTGAAAGACAGAGGTTTAATTTCATTTTGTTGCATATGGATTTCCAGTTTCCCCAGCACCATTTGTTGAAGAGTTTATCTTTTCTCCAGTGCATGTTTTTGGCACCTTTGTCTAGTATGAGATAACTGTATTTTATTTGTGTTTGTCTCTGTGTCCTCTATTCTGTACATGTCTGTTTTGGTGCCAGTAACTATATCATGTATAACAAGAGAAATGAAAAGTTGTGCTCCATTTGTGTAAAGAAAAAAAAGTAAAAATTATCTTAAAAAGAAGGAAGTTTTTTTTAAAAAAGAAGTACTTGCCATGAAAGGAAGGACAGATAAAAGAGATATCAGAAAGGGGTTATCAAAGATCCCATTTGCCAATTTCATTAATAGCATCAATCCCATCCGACTTTACTTGCTCCTATCTTTCCTTGTTGCTGACTGGGTGTGTGCTCACGCACACAAAGTGTTAAGTTTTGCTGTGCTTAGCAAAACAAGGAGTTCTGTGAGAAAGCATGAACTCTTTGAACTGTGTCCTTGTTGCTGTCTTAAGAAGATAGGAGAAAAGAATGTTCTGCCAAGTGTAAAATTTATATATATATA